AACTTCATTGATGTCGACTAACCTCTGACTTCTTTCTAAACACTTTTTTCCAGCTCAGACAGTTGCGTTTCACAAAGTGCGTCAGAGGAGTGTCAAAAGATCGAATGCGTACATCGAGATCGGTGGGTGACGCGTACGGCCTTTAGAAAATATCTTGCGTTTTCTATAATAAAAGCCCTATTATTTTAGTGGCGTGGTATCTATAAATAGCATTTGAAACAAAGGGGTAAGATTATTAAATCCCCCCCCCCCCCGCTTGACTCTGTCCATCCAACAATGTCAATGGGCACAACCACAATTACTCAATCGCCAGGCCGCAGTTATTTCAGACTTCTGTTAACCAACCTTTGATTGAACTCACAAACTCTGGGGACCAGTTTCGCCCTCCTTTTGGCTCATCACCAGAGTCAAACGTGCTATACACATCATGCTGGTTTACTCGATATCACTGGTAAAGTGCCCTCTTTGCGCACCTTCAATAAAACGGCCGTTTCTCCAAACCGACGAACACGGCAGTAGTTAGCACACCGTGCCATAGACTTAGCAAGCCGAGTTCGATTCCCAGCCGTGGTGACTGCCAGGGGTGAGTGAAGTCTGACCCTTGTCCTGGCCACCGACTCCCTTGACCAACTCAAAACTCGAGTTAACCAGCGTGGCTGGGTATGCTCAAATTACTCCTGTGACTGACATTACGAAGGGAGGTCCTTCATTCAGCTGTGGAATGACAAAGGGCCGTAAAGGTCAGCTGTGCCTTGTTTTTCAACATTTTTTGGGGTATGCTTCTTAGGCTACTCGGTTAGGTGTGTGGGGGAGCAACAGCTTCTCCGTTCCAGTTTTCGCACATTATTCTGTGGTGACGTGGTGTGTGAGCTTAGTTCGCAAGGGGCACAGAGGAGCGTGGCAATTTTCTTTTCTTTAAATCAGCGAGTTGAAAACATTGTAAGCCGTCGGCCTCAGATGTACCACGCGAGGCGCAGGTCACGAACTATATCGCGGAGAAATGTGGCTCACGACAGCGTTAAAATTGGCGCATGTGGCCCTCTGATAAAACAAGAATTCAGCCTTGCACAACTCTCCGCCCGGCATAACCATTTTAACAACAAGTTGAGTGCCATACGTAGGCAGCGACCATTGCTCAAATTCTCAAGAAATATTGACATGGAGACCCCAATCCCCAACGGAGGCGGGGGGGGGGTACAATGCAGCGAATAACCAAATCGAGAAATGTCGCCAAAACTCGGAAGCGGAGCAGGCACGACTCTGGATAGCGCTTAGACGGGACAACCACCGTGCATGGCCGGATTGTTAGAGGCAGCTGCGGGGGTGAAGCTACGTAGCAGTCGGCGGAGAGCATTGCAACAACATTTCAACGTAAAACGCTCCCCACTTCCACAAAGCCGAATTGGCTGGCGTGGTGAAGCATCATCAAATAACCGCCACGGCCCGCGAATTGTGAAAAGGGACTTCGCGTGCACACGCACAGGCGGTCCGAGAAGGGATATGTCTGGGGCGTGGTGGGTTACTCAACACATTTGAAGTTCAGCACTGTGGAAACAGGCTTGGTGAATCATCCAGGAATTATTACTCGTGAAACTCTCAACCTCGGGGGCTATGGGGGCGTGGTGGTGCATGTCACCCCAAAGAGCTTCGCTTCGCCTCCGTAGAGAGCACAGTAGAACAAGGGATTTTACATCGTTATTTTACTCCCCTGCCACAACATAGCAGTGGTTACTCAGGAGCAGCAACAGCGTGCTGGGAGTTAAAACCCTTGTGCAGGTGTAGGCCGCGTTGACGTGCTCCTCACTGACGAAAGAGTGCTTTGAGAAATGCAACCGAACCTGTCTGAGCCGCACCTTTGAGGCGTAATGCGTCGTCAATGCGAACCCTCTCGAGTTTTGCCGACCTGCCCACCTCCCCTTGTGCGGTAACATATCTGGCATCTTCCAGGCAAACCGCCATTTTTTGTGTGTTATTCTTTTTTTGTCACAGGGGACACACAATGGGCGAGGCGGTCTTTGGTCCAACGTGCTTGTGGGTTTTAGCACTCTTAACGGTGGGCTTATGGTTGAAATCAGCGGGAGTGCGCCTTATCTCGGAAGATGACTTTGGGAATGTGCCCGGAGATTACTGGGATGAGGTCAGCCACCACTAAAAGCTCACAGGTCAGGTGTGTAACAGGCATTGCGGGCAGCACAGGGCCCTGCAGAGAAAAAAAATCCATTGTTGTCCTACATTCTATGTTCAGCAATGTGCGCTGGTGAAGTACGGTCATGGCGTGGGGGGGGGCACTCATCCATCAGTGGTTTGACAAAGAGGGTTCTACAGGTACATCTAGCATTGTCAGCATCCGGTTGTTATTATTAGCTGACTATTAATGAGGTAACTAATTTTTTTTTTAATGGCCGAATAACAATTCCATTCGACAAATGAGTGGCGACTGAGTGCATTATTATAATTGTCGTCATAATTATCATCGACATCCTCAATCGCTGACCGAATATATTTCAAGAGTCCGTCTAAAGCTTTGCGTGTGCGTGTCCTCTGGTAAGGTAAAAACAAGTTAAGGTGGGAAGGCCCTCATCCATCAGTGGATTGACAGCACGAAACTGTTAATGCATGAATACACTGCTGAAATGTGGTTGCTGTAACTTTATTGTAAGACAATTTACATATCTGTCAACCCCTTATCAGTGCCTATCTTATTACAGACCAATTCTGACCTTTACTGGTCGCCCCGTGCCCTTATAAATCTCAACGTTCATCCTACAAAGTCCCATCACAAGGGATAAACACAAATGGACAAACAAAAATATGTCCGTGTTGAAACGGCTGTACGCCGTATAGACCTGCAAACTCAATTTCCCTGTACAAGAATACGGATAAACTGTATGGGTTGACAGTTCTGATTTTATGTTATCAGACATTCCATCACTTTAATCCGAGCTATCATGGACATGGGAGTACAGTGGTGGCAAAGTGCCTCTATGAACACGGTCAAAGTCACGGCTGACATCAGTGGCAAGTGACGTCCAAACCAGTCCTGGGACTGTGTGGAAGAGTAACCGAGAATAATCAAGATGTAACAATATTTAGCAAATCGGCCAATATAATTATCTTGGAACGTACATCGTACAATATGTCAGAGTACCGATATCTCGTGGCAATCCGAGTCACAGCGGAATAATTCTCGTAACATCAGATATCCAAACTTGAGTTTTTTTGGCACAAAGGCAAGCTTGTGTGTGTTCTGGCGTTTGACTCACAGTTGTTGTCTTGATGTCATGTTACAACAGCGGCAATGCGTCCCTCAGCTTGGTGCATTGTGTGCCAGGTGCAGTGGGTCCACATTGTGCTGAAGGGGGACTATGAGAAGAGGAACTGTAACATATACCAGGAAACATTTTGGGCATTGGCCCTACTTTACAGCACATTTAAAGAGTTAATAATTGAAACAATGACAATTGCCCTTTTTCGTAGCACATGTATGCGGCTTTCAGAAATGATTGTGCACCTTAATGGAAGTCCTAGAATACTAGCAGCATAAAGTGTGATAGTGTTGTTTCATGTGTGATAGTAAATATCCGTCTTTTCAGGTGTGAATACAGGGTTTTCACCTCTCATTGATAATGCTGATAAGTTAGCATCACGTGCATACAGTGAGGGAAAAAAAGTATTTGATCCCCTGCTGATTTTGTACGTTTGCCCACTGACAAAGAAATGATCAGTCTATAATTTTAATGGTAGGTTTATTTGAACAGTGAGAGACAGAATAACAACAAAAATCCAGAAAAACGCATGTCAAAAATGTTATAAATTGATTTTCATTTTAATGAGGGAAATAAGTATTTGACCCCTCTGCAAAACATGACTTACTACTTGGTGGCAAAACCCTTGTTGGCAATCACAGAGATCAGACGTTTCTTGTAGTTGCCCCCCAGGTTTGCATACATCTCAGGAGGGATTTTGTCCCACTCCTCTTTGCTGATCTTCTCCAAGTCATTAAGGTTTCGTAGCAGACGTTTGGCAACTCGAACCTTCAGCTCCCTCCACAGATTTTCTATCGGATTAAGGTCTGGAGAATGGCTAGGCCTCTCCAGGACCTTAATGTGCTTCTTCTTGAGCCACTCCTTTGTTGCCTTGGCCGTGTGTTTTGGGTCATTGTCATGCTGGAATTCCCATCCATGACCCATTTTCAATGTCCTGGCTGAGGGAAGGAGGTTCTCACCCAAGATTTGACGGTACATGGCCCCATCCATCGTCCTTTTGATGCGGTGAAGTTGTCCTGTCCCCTTAGCAGAAAACACCCCCAAAGCATGTTTCCACCTCCATGTTTGACGGTGGGGATGGTGTTCTTGGGAATCATTCAGATGTTCATTGGCAAACTTCAGACGGGCATGTATATGTGCTTTCTTGAGCAGGGGGACCTTGCGGGCGCTGCAGGATTTCAGTCCTTCACGGTGTAGTGTGTTACCAATTGTTTTCTTGGTGACTTTGGTCCCAGCTACCTTGAGATCATTGACAAGATCCTCCCGTGTACTTCTGGGCTGATTCCTCACCGTTCTCATGATCATTGCAACTCCACGAGGTGAGATCTTGCATGGAGCCCCAGGCCGAGGGAGATTGACAGTTCTTTTGTGTTTCTTCCATTTGCGAATAATCGCACCAAATGGTGTCACCTTCTCACCAAGCTGCTTGGCAATGGTCTTGTAGCCCATTCCAGCCTTGTGTAGGTCTACAATCTTGTCCCTGACATCCTTGAAGAGCTCTTTGGTCTTGGCCATGGTGGAGAGTTTGGATTCTGATTGATTGCTTCTGTGGACAGGTGTCTTTTATACAGGTACTGTAACAAGCTGAGATTAGGAGCACTCCCTTTAAGAGTGTGCTCCTAATCTCAGCTCGTTACCTGTATGAAAGACACCTGGGAGCCAGAAATCTTTCAAATTAACCTACCATTAAAATTATAGACTGATCATTTATTTGTCAGTGGGCAAACGTACAAAATCAGCAGGGGATCAAATACTTTTTTCCCTCACTGTATATACATATATTAATATTACAGGTGATTTTTTGATTATAACACGTACTTTCGACTACTTTTTACGTGTCCACAATACTGGAACCTTGCATGACATCTCCACATCATAAAAAGTGCTCTACTTACACAACATCACTGCGATAATAACAAACGTTTTAACATATCCTTAGCCAATGCATTCGCTCAGTCACATTCACATGTTTTTTTTTTCCCATAATGCGTAGTGAGCCTGCACATCATGCTAAGTTCCAACGTCATCTTTTCTAAAAGCAGCGTGCAGTTTGAGAACATCACCCGTATCTAAATCTTAACCTATTTAAAAGTACGCAATTTTCTAGGTCAACGGTTGTAAGAGCTGTGTGGTCCCTGGAGCACGGAAGCGGTCCGTGTAACCGTTCGAGACGAAGCTACGATTTCGAGATTTCATCTATACAAGTGCTAAAAAAAATGCGTGAGGATTGATAGAGGTCCGTGGGTCCAGAAAGTTGGAGAACCGGCGTTCTAGGTTAACTTGTTTAAGGTCAGTCCGCTATCTATAACCCAGAGAATCAGTTGCACATAAAACAAAATAATTCATTGAATTGTGGGGGTAGCATACGAAATTTATTCATGAATTCATTGAACATAATCACCAATTCATGCAAGATATTTCAATATACACACACACATCAGATTTGCTATACTTTATTATGTGCATCACGTAAAATGATCACCTATACAGACAGCATATATATAAATGTAGTTTAGAGTGTGGGTATACAATGGACCATACGTTGGGCGGGGGTTCTTTTTTCAACATGACTAATGATCTGACAAAAGCACATTAGACTGACTCCCAATGACAATAGCTCTCTGGCACAAGAGCATCCAACTTCGAAGCGGGCAGTGTATTCAAGTGTTGGCATTAATGCGTTGCCAGGTGTTTACCGTTTTTAAAACGCGTCAAACGCACTGATCAACAACCGTTTCGTTACGGCCATTAAACATCGAAGTCACGAATGGACAGCGGGGCAAACAGCACGCGGTTGGTTGTGAAGGTCAACAGCGGTATCGCAGATGCTGAAGGGTCAAGGCGAGGTGAGGTTGCCTGCTCGAATGAAACTGGCAAAAGCGGTTGAACAATGCATATCCCCTTTCCCACTGGCACATCCGAGCCGAGGCAGTGCCAAATCCTCAAGGTACGGGTGGTTTCTGTTCCACTGGCTAATTATCGAGAAGGGGTCTGAGCGTAATTCCACGGACGAGTGACAGCTTTTAAAAGCACCAACGTTAGTGGATGATTTCAAAGGTAACGACGTGGTGAGCACAAGGCAGATGAGGGCGATACGACCACGTACGTTTTCCGTTATTGCGCCGTACAGCTCTCTGATGATGTGTTTTTTTTACGGTTGTACCGTGTGTCGTTTGGCAGAGATGCCTTGACGCTTCACTCCACGTGAAGTGAGGTATTTGTGAAGTTCCTGGAAGAAGCTCGCAATGCGTGCAGTGAAACACTTTAGGTATCGTGCCGAACTATACGCGGTTACCAGCCGGAAACACATCGGAGAGCTGTCGATAAGGGTTCACTTATTTATTACTTTTTACACTTTTTAACGTAACTCGATACGGTCCCATGCGTTTTACAGGAAGCTGTCAATGTAGGAGCTGTGCAAGTTTTGACCGCCGTGCTTTTGACAGCTCAGACGAGAGACCTGCTCCGAATTATATCCTTCTGGTTGGAAGCACGAGGGGATGCAGACGATGAGGTTCGTGACCATTTTAGGCACGGACACAGTGGCGGTTCGTCCACTCGGGGCGTTGGGGCGCCACCACATCAAGCAGCTGGAGATGAGAAATTATTTTTCTAATAAAAAATATATGCTTTTCTATCAAGTTTTGTCGTATTTAAAAAAAGTAAAATATGATTCCTTCAACGTGAATTACCTAATGAAGATAACGTTTTAAGTTGTTCATATTAGAAACCGCTGCAACACCACAGTCCGATTTGTGCCTCGGGGAGGTCTCGGGGCAGCTGTGAAGGCGTTGCGAGTGAGAGATTTCCCTTCGTTCATTGCGATCGGCTTATCGCATTGTAGCCACGCCGTTTGAGACCCATTCAGGGCCGTTGAAACAGGCGCCCGTGGCTGTGGTGAGAGACGATGCCACAACGCGAGGAGGTTGCACTGTGCAAACAGAGCAGCTCACGGCCTACGAGCTCTAGGAGAGGCAGTGCCAAAGGGGTTGTGGAGTGTGGAACTTGACGGGCATGGGGACAGCATTTGAGTGCTTTGTTGTTTAGTTTCGTATTGTTTATAAATGCCTACCGTTGGTAGATAAGACATTTCACTTTCACGGGAAGGTCAATAAGATGACGATATTTTGTTCATTAGAACACCATATTATCAGAGGCCACTCACAACAGTCCCAGCTGGTGCACGAGCAGACTTTTGCAATGTATGTAGAACTTATTTCGCACCGTACGTAGCCAACCATGCTATTCGGAGCTAATGAATATCCCCTATTGTAGTAGTTTACCCAAATACAGATTCATTTATAATCCCGAGTATGATTAAATAAGTATATTTTTACAACCAAAAACCTTTAAAACGTAAAAAAACGAGAGAAAATGTGTGAGGGTGGTTGAGCTTCCTGGGTATAGAACGGATGATGTTTGAATGTTTGGGGACGCGTGGGTTATGAAATGGGAAGGTGTGATTTCCAAAAACAGGGGTTGGTGTTTCTGCAAAACCATAACGTACAGCAGGGGTCAGGTTTCATCAGCAGGTGATTATGCGCTCAATCGCGGGACGTTGTACCGATGTGTACTTACAGCCCTTGCGACAATATACTTCTGAAAGAGGCCCTTCCAATGCCGTGCTGGTCATAAGAGCTGTTTCGCCAGACGTCAGCACACTGGTCAGTGCAGGTTGGTGAAGGTGGGGGAACATAGAAGTACAGTACAGCTACGGATTTAGCTGCACTGTCATTTTGTTAGAAGACTTCAGTTATCATTGTATTTCAGAAGGGTTGTGTGTAATTTTAAAGGTTCACGGATTGAGATTGATGTGCAAAGAGTGTGTGAGTTCAGATCCAGATGATTAAGAGTGTCAGAGTTCGTGTGTGTGTGTTGCGGTGTATTTTGATTCACATGCGGGTTTTTTTTTTGCAAGGCTCTTTTATGCCAACAGCAGACACAGAGATGGCAACAGCATCGCAGCCACCAGCGTTTTTACGGCCATATGCAGACCTTGGGCAGCTGTACAAAACGGCACATAAAAAAACAGCAGGGCACGGATCAATATTAGAGCACATTCTGCAACGGCAGTGGTGCATAAGAATATTTAACCCAAAAAAACTCAAAACGTGAATAACACTGCCTTAAAAATAAGTATTTCGGGCAATGTTTTGGGCAACGCCCATTTGTTCTTCGCTACATGCTGTGCAAACGGGCCCGTTGCCTGAAACGTCGACCTATTATATATTTTTTTCCTTTGAAGCCGACAGTGTTATTAACCAATGTTTTTTTTACTCCCATACAGGGTTCTTAGTTCTTATACTGAATGAAAAGTAGCATACACCTCTCATTTACACAACCACAGTAAAACTTACTATATTCTAACCGTGAATGTCAACACTAGCAGGAACGTATAGTGCTAAATGTCGGACGAATATTTTTCAACCAAGGCCTGGAAAACCCCTAAATGTTTAGAAGGATGTTGTACAGAGTCTGTAAAGTGAGAAGGGAAAAGAATGCAGTCATATTAACTTTCGATGCTTTGTCAATTCATTGCTGGATGAAGGCCTCCCCACGCTGTGTCGATCACGGGGTTTGTTTGAACGTACTTCACCATTAGTGTAATTTGGTGAAGTAAGGGTCCCCAAGGACTACCACTGATGTTAGCCAAAGCCAGGAATTGTGGCTGGGAATCGAAGTCAGGCGGCTGGGTTCATAGACAGCACGGTGCGCTAAACACTGAGCTACCATATTCTTTGGATCTTTCGGTAAAGTCACGTAGTTAGAAATAAAATAAAATAAAACAATACCTCTTTGGTTCTATTCGGTAAAGTCACGTAGGTAAAAAATAAAACAACAAAAATCACGACGTTTCGGCCAAAACACAAGCGGCCTTCATCAGGTGAAGGGACCAAACTGTCCAGCGGACAGCGTTGGAGTGAAGAAAGCCAAGCGCTGGTCGCCTCCTTTCAAACTGTGAGGGGGTAAACAGTAAACGCCTTGACAAAGGAAATTTGCATAAAACGTACTACTGACAGAGCTTGGAATGAGCATAAGATGATAATACACCACCTTGGAAGTTTGGAGTGCCACTACTAGAATAAATATACTGTACCATTGAAAATTAGTTTAATGTTTGGTTCGATTGAGAACATCTTTCCAATGGTTGCTTAGTTTTAAACCATCTTCTCGGTTGAATAAACAAAAAACACACGCGGTCGTCATCGGGCCAAGGTGACGACCGCTTGTGTTGCGATCGAAACGTCGTGATTTGTTTTATTTTATTCTATACCCACGTGACGACTTTACCGAAAGAACCAAAGAGTATGGATTCCTGCAGTCACGAAAGCTTCAAATCAAGACTGCGCTGCCGCTCCACCAAATCTTTCCACCTCGTCTCATCCGTACATACAAACAAGATAAATCATGCAAACGCATAGTTTCTTTACCAATTTCCGACATGCATTTGTCCTTGGAAATATTTAATCAGTGCGTGACGTGCGGACCTTACCGTGTGACATCGCAACGTAATGACATCATCAGAAAGGGAGGCGAGAGCATGGCATTTTACATTTCCGTTTTGGTCAAAATAAAAGTTTACTTTAAGATTTAGTTTACATTGGATCAACTTCACGAGAGTTATGACTCCCACCCCCCCCCCACCCCACCCCACCCCTCTACTGACAAAAAAGAGAGATGGACAGACAGAGCCAATGGATTATTAACACCTTAAACATCGACGATCGGCAGTACTGACCTGCGACCGCAGAGGGTGGCACGTTGAGGAGTCCAGGGCCGGCCGAGGGTGGGATGACGTACGTGAGGAACGTGTTCGGGAAGCGGGTGCTCAGGATGTCCTGAGAAGCCGGGTTCAGAGAGTTGTACTGCTGGGTGGTGATGGACATCAAGCTCGAGAATCCAAGTGCTCTTATTGTCTCCGGGCTGAGAGCCTGCACCAGTCAGAGGATTCGGGGAGGATCGAGACGCGCGGCAAATTATTTACCGCGTGAGGTATGAGGTGGAGTAGCCAGGTGTTAAGAGTGGTTTGAAAAGGTGGCACTTGCACACATTTTTACATGGAGTACTCTTGCCAATAACATCTGGCAATCGAGTAGCATTTGCTTGAGAGGCCTTCTGATGAAACCCAGTAACTTGTCTGAGAATTTGCTTGCTTAAACTCACGCCACTTGATAATATCAGTCTAGAAAGCCTATATAGAATTGTGGATTCGTTTTTTTTATTATTTATAGGTGGAGAGAGAATGGAGTTATACTTTGATTTCATTTTATTCAGAGTTTAGGAGGGTATTCATCATTTTCGGATTATGCTCTTGCCCATATGCTGATGTAACGTTTTAAGCGGATGCATGCATTACCGAAAACACTTCTCGCGGGATGAGAGGGATGGCCGCTGGTTTAATCTCAGCTTTCTGCGCCAACGTTAAGTTGTTGATGTCGTCAGCGCTTGCTCCAGCTGTGAATAAACAGAGAAAATGTGAGTGGGTAGGTGGGGGGGGGGAGGTTGAGGAACAACACAACCTAAAATGTGTAGCAATTTAGCAAAATGACGATTCCAATGTATTGTTATGCTCAAAATACACACGTCAAATCGAGCCTGCAACAATGGATGTTTACAATTTCTAACAACAAGCAAAGGCAATAGGTGTAACATTTGAATGTAATTTAACACATTAGACGACATTCAAAGTGTAATATTTAAATCTCAGAGTTGGTATTAGCCACATTAAGTGCAAAAACAAATGTGTTGTCACGTGTTATTTTTGTGGTGTCTTTAAAGTATTCTTCTCGAGAACGCAACTTAATCCTGGGTGGCTAACCATATTCAACCATTAGATATCAGCAGTGGCAGCTCAGCATTATGAGCTGAGCCGTCAACATAGATAACTGATTTAAACGATTCTTCAAAAAACAGTACACTATTCACATGCTTACTGGAAATTGAAGTGCTGAGTCAGATTGGTGCTACAGGTGTCATTCATCATGCAGCGTGAATGCTGAGCTAGAGCAACAGAAATCCTTTACACACTGCCTCTGGAGGGGAGCCTGGCAAATCACTGCCTCTGACAAAGATCCGAAGGAATGGCACTGTCTGACAGGATCGAAATTGATCGGGTTTTTTTAAATGTGACAATCCCTGTGCTCTATCTCAGGCCACTCTTTAGAGGCGATGAAGTTAAAAACCTGATCAGTATTGATGATGAGTTAGTATGTTATTACAATTTTAAGCTGCGGCCCTGCAATGAATTGCTCACGTCACTGCTGTTGGAAGGGCCTCCAAGAGAGGGAGCTCTATGGAGCCCTCGTGAGGAGTTTTGGCCTCCTCTTCCACCCTGATCAGACGTTTACCCCACCACACGCAACCTGCCAATCAACTAGCAGTGGCGTACCCATTTATACCACCCAACGTTTCGATTTAAAGCTTTCGTGACTGCAGGGATTCATCTTCTTGGTTCTTTCGGTAAAGTCACCACGTAGAAGGGAAATACACGACGTTTCGGCCACAACACATTCTACGTGACTTTACCGAAAGAACCAAGAAGATGACCACCTCAACGTTTCGACTGCCGCACCAGGAAATCGAATCGAACCGGCGGCCCCTGGATTGCAAGTCCCGCTTGATGGCCATCACTCCACAGCAGCATCCAGTATCCTTTGTCCGAACAGAATGCAATTTCTAAAACCTGCTGTGCGTACGAACCAGAGCGGTAATCATTTCAAAATCTTTCAAATATTGAAGACGAGGTCGTTTTCTAACCTGTGTGTGGCAATGTGAAAGTGCAAACGTGTAATATCTCGGTCACTCTCTACTGTCGGCGGAAAGGCCTCCACTAGGACTAGAGGGAGCTCTGGAGAGCCCCTCGAGAATTGAAACGCACCGACAATCGTTCCCAACTGTGAGATGGTCCCAGTTGGCCATTGTGAAGGGGTCTGTTGGAATGAGTCATTCGCTTTTTTCCAGAGTGTCCGGAGCTGAGAAAGGCTGTACTTGTCAACACTTCCCAGTGCCTCTGCTGCATCCCTACACGACGGGTATCCCACAGGATAGAAACACGTAATCATCATGATTGTTTTCAATACTGCCATAATTGTCATCAACACTTTCACCACCACCATCATCACAATTATCATCATCTTCACCACCACCACCACCACGCCAGCCATCATCATCAGGATCCTCATTCACCACTCTCACTGTAACGCCATTTTTTCTACTTGTGCTATGATTTAGAGTATATTAAAAAAAATGATACATGTAAAAGGTGTGCAGATGTTTTTAAGTGCAGGGATTCACTTGAAGGCTGCAGGATCCAAAATTGAAAGGTCGGAGAGACCGGTCACGAAAACGCCGAGAGACCTAAGGTCGGTTGACGTCAATCCAGCTATGGTTTTCCCATTCATGAAATTTTTCGTTACGGCCTGGATCTGCGAGGAGAAAAAAAAAGCAGCCAACAGATCTCTCTGCATTCAGAATGTGCATCACGATGTAATGCGCCTTATTTAAGGCAGGTTAGATTCAAGATACAAAATAGGTCTATGTTATAACGATTATATGGCATGATATGTATATATGTATACGTTATATATTTTAAAATGCAGCACAATGTTACAAATCTGACTCCCTGGGATCTGAGGTATAGGCGGATATGTGAAATGTTCAGATATGTAAACATCAATACAAAATGACAATTACACGTAAACAAATGGGTTAATGAACAAAAACAGGCCCGATCAACAATAGCAGCATCACCACCAGCAGCGCCAATGCCATCATCACAATCAACAGAAATACCACCACTAAAACCATTAGCAGCAGCACTACCAGCACTACCACCGCTAACAGCAGCAACATAAAAACAACCATCATCAACAACATTAGCAGCAACATCGTTACGATCACCACCACCAACAGCAGCAGCACCACTGCAACCACCACCAACAGTAGCAACGCAATCGTCTTGACCATAACTACAAACGGCAGCACCAACACCATCGCCATCCATGAGCAGCAACCATCCACAAGTCCAGTACAACTGCACCACCAACATCAGTGCCAATGCCATCAATGGCAGCAGCAGCAGCAGTAGCACCACCACCATAACAGCATTACCATCAATAGCAGAAGCAGCAAACAATTCACAGCTACCACCAATCGCAAGCACGACCATTAACAACATCGGCAGCTTACGCCACTACCCCTGGCAGCACCGCGATCACGGTACCTGGACTGTGCTCCAACCCTGCGTCTTGGAAAGTTTCCCCACCAAGTCGATGCTGCTGAGGTCAAGCTCCTGGATCTCGGCAGGAGTGAACGCCAATGCCAAGTTGCCGATGTTGGCCAACGTGTCCGTGGATGTCGGCCACTTGAACACCTGTTGGAAGAAAAGGCGAGAAGGTCACGGGTCTCTTCGTGCGCACGTATGATCCGTGAGGGTCGTGGGGGTCATCTGGCCGCGCTTCGAAACGCCCATCAGTGGCGAGTTGTGGAGCAATAGCACAATGGAATTTTCCATAGTACGGGGTTTTTGCTGGGTTAGATCGCGTAAATATGAATGTGTCGTTAAACTCGCCACCACCCGACAAAGCCAATTAGTAAGGTTTGTCACGTAAACAAAACGTTTGTGTCAATTCGTTACGAGTACAGCACACCGGTGTATTGGAGAGCAAATCCACAACATTAACAATCTGAGTATGACATTTCTCCAGTAATCACAACCGGCATCATCAGGCGGCAGCCAATAAATCCCCCTGTTTCGTTCCTTATAGATGTGATGACGTAAATTGTGTGCCCATCTTGTGCGAAGTGGGGGGGGGGGGGGGTGGTTAATGAATGCACATAAATTACAATGGGTAAGCATTACCGATTGGGTTATTCATATGGTAATCAACGAACATTATGCATGCAAATGTGTGCATGTGTAGTGACGTTCTACGGATCACTACGGCGCTTTGCGTTGTGTGTGTTGTGGAGATAACTGGCAGGGTACAGTACCATGCACGTGACGGGCAGGGATGAGGTATAGGGACACGTGAGGACAAGTCGGGTTAGGGGCCGTCCATAAATGACGTCACGCGATTTTGGACGATTTTTGCCCCCCCCTTCCCCCCCGGTCGTCACACGGCGTCACAAAAAGTCAGACCCCCCCCCCCCCCATCAAATATGATGTCACAAAGCTCTGCCCTGCCCCTTTTTCCCCCCAAAACCATATTTCCATTTAAAAAATTAAACACGCTTCAAATCGCTTTAAACTATTGTCATTGTAGTGTGTATTTAAGTGGTGCTGCACTCTGGTGTTGTAGGAGAAAACATTTATTAAAAAGGAGGCGTTTGAAAGCTTAAATTTAGCATAAAATTCCCTTGAAAATATTCAACGTCTAACTAAAACTGCAGATGCTCAGAATATTATATTGAAATTATCTTATAATATAAAATATTAAAAGTAATTATAACTATTAAAAAAATGCTTGAAACTTTGTAGCAAAACGAAGCAAAATTGAGAGTACAATTATAACAATCATATATTCATTCCACAGAATGAAAAGCCCTGGTAGCATCATTCGAATCAAAATGTTGAATAAGAATCATTAAAAAAATGTTAAAAATGTATGCTTCTCCATTCTCCCATGGAGAAGCAAAATGCTCCTTCATGGAATAAATAAAAGGTGACCTTGGTAAATGTAAATAATCAAATAGTTAATATTGAAAATTAATCCAAATTAGTGTTGTTATAAAATTTATATTTTTATTTAAAGTTGCACATTTTGATGTGACGTCACATTTCTAAACCTCCCCCCCCCCCCTTGTCACACATCGTCACAAATGTCTGACCCGACCCCCCCCCCCCCCCCAGGTTCGTGACGTCATTTATGGACAGCCTCTTAAGCACGTGACAGAATGGGCGAACAGGTGCAAAGGAACAGGAAATGGCCGGACGGGGAGGGACGGCCGAGGAGCGGAGCGGGGGCAGCGGAGGACAGAAGGCACGTCTCGAGCGAGGTTCGAGGCTGTTTCGGTGGATGGAAGAATCCTGCTCGTCGCCTGTGGCCGCGCTCTCGACACCGTGGGTCAACAGCACGAGGGCTGCTGTGACCAGAGATATAGTTACCCTGCGGAGAGGGTTGGCGTACGTAGCCCCGTCCCAAGTGAGCTAGGTGATGTAGTCCCGTGTGTAACGCTGTAGCTTTGTGTGAATTGAAAGTTGTTGCCTCCTAACAGTGTGCCTGCAAATGATAATGAACAATTGGAAAGATGTTCTAAATGGAACCAAACATTAAACTAATTTTCAATGGTACAGTATATTTTTCAAGTAGTGGTACCCCAAACTTTCGCAGCTCTTAAATTCCCCTTTCACACCATCAATAGGTAAACTCCCCCTCCCCCCCCTGCGCCAAACGGCATGTGCACCCGCACGTACACCACCTCTATGCTAAGTCGGCCAATCAAATGCTCATTTTTTATGCTAATTCCTTTGTCAAGGCACCTTGTTTCCTCGCACACAGCTTAAAGGTCGCGGTCTAAGCGTGGCTGCGTTTCACTCCAGCGCTGTCCTCGAGACAGCCTGATCCCTTCACCTGATGAAGGCCGCTTGTGTTGTGGCCGAAACGTCGTGATTTTTGTTGTTTTAATTTTTTACCTACGTGACTTTACCGAATAGAACCAAAGAGTATGGATACTTGCAGTCACAAAAGCTTCAAATCTAGAAATGCACATTGTTCTTGTTGCTGCACTGCCCTCTGCTGCACACAATGTAGTCAAGCTGGGGCAGCAGCAGCCAATGATAACCTGTATTGTGCATGGGGTGATAACCAGTGCCGTGTTTTCCTAGTAGCGAAAGTAGCTACATATGCTACGGGCCCCGCACTTTCAAGGGCCCCGCGCTAAACGCTTTCAAGCTATCAATTCCGGTTCGGTGATTCTGCACTTGCTCTTACTATAGTACTATACTTCCTTCAAATGTTATGAATGACCGGTGTTTAAGGTTAGCGATTTGCCGTATTATTTGTCTGTATAGTAAATGAAAAAATACAATTCACTATGCAAGTAAAAAATTCGTGTTTTAACATTTACGTGGTTTTTATTATTTAGGGCCCCTTTATAACAAACATACTCCGGGTTAATTTCCCCCCCCCCCCCCCCGCATCCCCAGCGTTTGGCATTGTTGCTGCATTGGCATTGCTGCTGCATTGGCATTGCTGCTACATTGGCTTTGCTGCTGCATTGACATTGCTGCTGCATTGGCACTCATACACCGCGTGTGCTCCTGGTGTTGTTGATACACGTGGGCTACGCCCATCCCCAAATCCTTATAAACAGTTTGCCTGTAGAGGCTGACTCCTTTGCCTGATGACGACCGCTTGTGTTGCGATCGAAACGTCGTGATTTGTTTTATTTTAATCTTGATTTGAAGCTTTCATGACTGCTGGAATCCATACTCTTTGGTTCTTTCGGTAAAGTCACGTAGTCAGAAATAAAATAAAACAAAACAAATCACGACGTTTCGTTTAATTTTATTTATATTATTTTATTTCTAACTACGTGACTTTACTGTAGTAGTACATTTGGTATTTATATATATTATGCCTCTCATTTCATCATCAGTTCCTTCGAACACAGGCATTGATGCGCTGCCAGGGCCATTATTTGCAAAGTCTGAACGTTAATGCTTTAAAGCGTAATAAAATCACTGGCACAGATACCGGTTCATTTAAGTTAATTGTACCGTTTGTAATCATTAAAAAAAATCATACATCTGCACCCTTTCTAGCCCCGCCCTGTTTTACATAACCACGCCCATTATGCTACTTTCCCAGTCCACACAGCAAGGGACCTCTTTCTAATGGGGAACCGTGGTGGCGAGATGTTAACTACCTCGCCTGGTATGCAGGAGGTCGTGGCTTCGATCTCGACCCTGATGCCTGTACATGTATTTGGAGTTTGCATGTTCTCCCTGTGGTCACGTGGATTTTTCTCCGGGTCCTCCGGTTTTTCCCTCCACATTTGGAAACATGCGTTTTTGAGTAATTTGCTGCTATAAAGTGCCACTTCACTGAGCTATCATTTGTGGCCAGGTCGTTTCTCAAAAAGAGCCATATATATATAGCTCAGTGGGCATTATCTGGTAAAATAAATCGTTTTGTTTTAGTTTTGTTTATGTTGGCTCCACCTGTTTCTTATAAGTCCCAACCACTCGCCTACCAACCACCACCTTTGTCCATATTAGGAGTCGAGCATAAAGCCATGTATTTTATTTTAAGCGGGAAAAAAACATCCAAAGTTTAACACAATCTTCGGCTCAGTGGGACAGTCATTTTAAAATCACCGGGACTCTCTCAACCAAACCGGGGCGCTACTCTTTGTTAAACTTCACAAGGCCTCGTTTGCATTGTTTTGCTTGCACACTAGGATTACCTGTTTTTTTTTTATGAATCTATTAACACCCAAGTTTCTCTTGAAAAATATATTCTTCTTTGGTCTCATTGTGATCTTAATAACAAAAGCTATCTTCTTATACAATCATTGGGCTCCTATCTAGTTACAAACAAAGACCATCTATGATGTGGTACAAGTTTAAGTAAGGCAAATGTCAGCGTGTCAAAATAATTTTCAATGCACTGCCTCTTCATATCTGATCCTGTCTGACTACATTCCACTTTATACCAACTGCAAACATTAAGGGCCAAAGAGGAGAACAAATAACATCTCACTGAGAAAAATATTGAAAGCCCTAGTTGCTAGAAAAGAGATCACAGGGATGGGAATGAGTGAGATTAGAAGGGCGAGATAGGGGAATGTGTTGAAGGGAGTTGAGTGAAATGAATAGAGGCAAGGAGTCTGGAATTTGGGATCCTCCATCTCCTTACCGACTTGATCTTCGCCATGAAGACAGCCAGCTGATCGGAGGAGAAACTGAGCTTGCCGAGGTCGTCCACGCTCTCGATAAACACGGCGTCCGAGATACAGCCACCCAAGTCTGCCGCGCTCATCTGTGCCAGCGCCTGGCCTCGTGTGAGGATGTCCTGCCGGGTCAGCTGGGCACCGGAACAAGCTGCGGAATGGGTTCAGTAGTGTCAGCCCTTGAGTGTCCGGAGGGCTGGAGGGGCTGACTAGCCCCCTCCCCCCCCCAACTCCCCTACCCCCACCCCCTTAATTCTCAAAGTACTCTATTTAACACCAGTTCAATGGTATCAAGCCCAGACATTGCAGTGCGGGTAATGACACATTGTTAGTACACGCTGTGATTACTGCTCTAACAGACACCGAATGATCTGCTGTGATATGGTTAATTTAATTTGCAAGCTTCACTCAATATGTGAAGCTGTCTGCAGTAGTTGAAGGGCACTGGGCAAACGTACAAACATTGGTACAATGAAATGATGGCCATGGCAGCCTTTTCTTATGTGCATTGGAGGTGAGAGCTAGAGAAGAATGCACGAGTAGATCAAAAAACAGATCCTACCCTTACTCATTCTGTTTAGATTTTAACATTTGTTCAAAGTTTGTTTAACACTGACTGTGCCTAGTCCCTCTGAATATTGTCTGCCTCCCTTTGTAAAAGATTACGCTTCAAGTTTGGGCGATGTAAGCATGGGTACTTAAAAATTGTCAGATTAATTTATACGAGATTCATAATTGAACGTAAAGAAGACAAAGGGCTCGATTCACGCGCAAGCCGGGTCACGTGGTAGTTTTGCACTTCTTCTTCTTGTGTCCTGCCACCACAGTCAAATGTTTATCCAGCATTGGGCCTGGTCTGAAGCTCCAGCGAGGTCCTCTATGTACACGCATTCTCCAGGAGGCAAACAGACCAACAGATGTCCCATGGTCCATGTTTCACCACAGCCGCATGTGCCAGTGTCGTTAGAGTAGCCTCACTTCAGCATGTTGACTTTTGAACTCCTGGCTCCCGACCTGCTTTACGCGTTTGACCTAATTTTCGCTGGTGTGACGCAACACACACACACACACACAAAGCGGGACGACTTACTGGCGCGCTTCCTCCGTCTGCCGCTGGTGCCGGACTGCGCTTTCAACCTCACTTGGATCAATTTCAGGTCGGGAGAGAAGCGGAGTCGATCTGGCCTCACGTCCATCACCTGTGTTTGTGCGGTCACGTATTCAATAAGAGCGCCCAGTGCCGTGGTCTACAGGGGCACGGGGAGTTGGGGAGTTGGGGAGATCGGGGGAGGGCGGGGGTTAGAGCTTAAAGTTGAAAGTACACGAGTTCAAATCCTGGGCAGCAGTTGAATCTGCTAATTAAGCATGTAACAATTAACACATTCAATATAAGAAAGAAGAGCCTTCCAGATGGCCACAGAAGCACATCCGAAAGAGAGCAGTGACACATCTTTGTTCGAGTGGTTTATCACGTGGAAATGTATAGCAGCCAAATACTTTACGTTCGTTTCTAAAAAGTGAAGTCACTTAAGATTAAAAATTCTACCAAAGATGTGACCACAGTATTTCAACGTTGGTCAAACTTTAGCATGTAGCTTCTCACAACCACTCATGATAAAAATGTAGTTTTCTGGGTTGAGCTGTGTGTTGAGCATTTCATCTCTCAAGCTTTCACCACAATGTACCACTGGCATCTCCAGGAATTGAAGCGAAGATGCCTGCGGCAGTGGATTTGGCGAACATTTAACAGCAATCACAATTGATAGGAGGTGAAGAATACTTTGCGGCAAATAAACAATCTTCTTTGATATCCCTTCATGGCAGATGAATGGGATAACCTTTCCGTGACGAGTGCCAAAAACGGTACACACCAGGGATCTGATTCCAATTTACAGCAGCGGCTTTGGCTAACAAAGACGGTCACTGCATCACTCGCTTTCAGATGCGCTTCTGTGGCCATCTGGAAGGCTCTTCCTTCCGATATTAGAAAGCCACTGGAGCTATGCCCTTGTTTAAATCTAGATTGAAAACTAACTTCTTTAGATTTGCTTTTAGTTTGTTTTCCTTCCCCCCCCCCCTCACCTCCAATTACCAAGGTTGGCTACACACGGTGCAAAAGAGGCTGAACATTTTATTGGTTCTTTCGGTAAAGTCACGTAGAAGGGAAATCATAAAAAATAAAACGTAATAATATAAAATTCTCATGACGTTTCGGCCACAACACAAGTAGCCTTCCTCCTGTGACTTTACCGAAAGAACCAAGAAGATGAATCCCTGCAGTCACGAAAGCTTTAAATCGAAATTTAGGCTGAACATTCTTACACACGTACCTGACACAGGGTGACTTTGCTTTTTAGTGAGCAGTTCGGTAAGTTATATAATTGAGCAACGTAAATGATCCAAAAATATGAACTGGCCATAAAAGTTGAAAAATCGGAAATTTTTAAGCCTGAAACTCAGAACAAAGAGACACGGGTATATTTCTTGGTCCATGCTTACTGATGTTATGCCAGTGAGCGTGTTGTTGGATAGAGTGGTGACCATGTCGCCCATGTCTCGGAGGTTCTGATAAGTCCACGTGGATGATGCGCTGTGAAGAGAAAGACGATGCAAACGTTCGTATATTGTCTCGACATTTAAATAAAAAAAAAATCTTCATCGGCCAATCGGCTTTCCAGACCAATATTATTCAGTGGCATTTGTTTAAGCAAAGAAAAAAAACACCTGCAACAGTTTCAGCCTTCTGGGTCTCATCAGCAGAACTATGGTTGATATACAAACGCTACTGGGGTACCAGATGTTATTGGCAAAAGTACTCCATCTCAACTATGGGTCTTGTTCAACAACAAAAAAAGCTATGTTGTATACATCTAATTATATGTTTCTGTGAAATATATATATATTTCTTTTTAGTCAGTATTTCCTTTTCACCCCATTGTCAACCCATTGCTGGAAGAAGGCCTACCATTCCACATTGGTCATGTCAGTTGTGTGACCATACTCCACCATTCTTGTCAGTGCCGGTTGGTGCACAATTAGAGGATATGCAGAGTAAATTACTCATTGACCGACATTCAGTTGGATGAAAGGTTGCGCGATGCATGGACGCGCATTGACTGCGTACAATGGCTGATAAACCGAATTAATTCATTGATGGGGGACATATGCCTCAATGACCCAGCGGGTGGGCAGCTTACAAGACAACTGAATGAATGCTGTCGAGAGTAAAATGTAAAAGTCCAGTTCTGCTATTGCTGGCTAACACTACTCCTGACAAAAGGGCCTACACTGGAGGGAGTCCTAGATAGCCCCATCCACAAGGTTTTTGTGGGCCCAAGACGTCATAAATTACATGACCTTCCATTTAACTGCGGTATACCCATTTATACTACCGTTTGGGCAGACTTGGAGGATTTAAGAAACTTGTCAATTGTATCAACTGCTCTACCAGGACAATCGAATCAAACCAGCAACCTCTGCATTGCAAGTCCAGTGTGCTACAAATGACACCACTGCACACCAGAACTGTCGATAATACACACCCATATTTTGAGGTGAGCTTAGCCTCAATGCTGGTGGCCTGAGCAGCCGTGTAGACCTTGCACTGCTTGAGATTGTCCAGGATGCCGATGTCGGCGCTCTGGATCTGTTCACCGCTCAGCTCGCACGACAGATTCCCCAGGACTGCGACATCACTCGCCGTCAGACTCAGCCCTGTCGGTTTATCCTGTGAAACGGAGGAGAGAGAGAGAGCACGGTGCAACCTTAAACACGGAAGAATGTGTGCATATATACGGCAGATCAGGGAGCACAGGTGGTGCATCTACCGCACCTCCGATTAGCACGGTTGATTATGTACAGTGCAAAAGAAGTTCAACATACATACCAGTCATCTTAGTTAACCCATAACACCTAGGTCTGTCCCATGACCTCTTTCCAGCAAGCACAGTGGGGAGCACAGGTGGTGCATCTGCTAGTCATCTTAGTCAACCCATGGCACTGGGGTCTGTACATGATGACATGTATTTATGTGGCTGACTAGGTGTGTCGAATCTGCCTCCCTTCCTGTGGGCACTGAAGTGCAATACCCCTGGTGTGTCAGTAGAATGCAGTAGAGCAAGGTGTGGACTAATATCATCTGTCCCTTGTGTATGGGATAGAGTGTTGCCCCCTCACATGCGTGGGTTTTCTCTGGGTGCTCCCGTTTCCTCCCACATGTTCAAACACGTATAACTGTATGAACACATCTTAACATATCGAGAACTGCAGAGCAACTGTTGGTGCCGGCTCATCACCTGGCAGCCTTCCAGCTTGTCTGTGCTTCCTTAGTGATTGTGAGATGCAATTTGTATGAACGACACGATATAAAAGCCATCATTAGATTTAAAATTAGTGATATATATATACAGCAAATGGGAACACAAAAGTCAACCGTTCGGCACCTTTCCCCAAGGCGCCTGGCCAGTGTGTAAGAATAGGCCAAATATATATCCCGAGAGGGGCTCTCTATGGACGCCTTCCGTGGAGGCCAGAATTAGCGTGAGCATGCACTTTCAGGGCTGCACCTTTGCCGCACACTCGTAAAACACCACGACACGACGCACAGCCACCTACCAGGCACGACAGGGCCCTGGTCAGCAGACTGGTCCTCGACTTGTCTTTGGGCAGCTTGTTGATGTCGGCCTTGCCCAGGCTCGTGAACAATGGGATGCACGCCGGTTGCTCAATGGTAAACTTTTTGGCGCTGCAAATCAAGGAGACAAAAATACAGCAGCAGTGTCCGTCGTGGATAGGGAAAGGGGACAAGAGTTTCTAAGAAAATAGGTTTTCCAATGGTTGGGGGGTTTTTTTCCAATAATAATATTGATATGTGCAAGATGGCGCAATTTTAGCACGGCGGTTTGTGCACTGCCTAAGTGTTACTGTACATCAAGATGCTCTCGATAAAGAATGGACATATTCTAATTGTTTAATAACGATAGTTTTAGCTATTTATCAACCCTGTAGGCATCAGAATCAGAATCTTTATTTAGACTTCAGGAATCCAATGAGCTGTGAAGCTCTTTTTTACAGATTTCCAGTAGGGGTGGGTGGTCCGCAGTTACAACGACAAGCAACACAAAAATAATTATAGGAGTGCAAAATCGAGAAAAGGGAAAGCAGGTCACTAAATATGAATAAATAAAATATAAATGCATTATATAAGTCCTATTTTTCAACAACCTTCCAATTGTGAGCTGCTTGCTCTACTGCTGAGCCACTCAGTACTTACTCCACATAAATGAGCACTGAACTGGGGACATCTTGATCCAGATCCACGGATGACAGACCACTTGCCAAACAGCTCGCCTGCATTGTGAACAAACCACAGCAATCACAATAATTTGAGAGCCACTAGAAAAAAAATTATAGAACTTTCTGTAAATGAGGAAAAGTCCATTGGGCAGAAAAGTGCGTGTAGGCTTGAAACAATGAAGAGTAATAATAATTAATCATACAAAATTGTGAGCACAGGATCAGGCTCTCTCATCATGCGTTATTTGTCATGTAACACCAACACATTTTTGTGTATCCTGGACACAGCATTGTTTTAGACCGCCCGCTCAAAAGTCAACATTTCCAGCGAGATTATTTGAGAGAGCAGAGGCAGAATAGCCATCATTCATAGCCATAATTCAATATTTTCATGCTCAAATGTATCACTGGGCCTCTGGTGGTCCTAAGTTTGTGGTGAAAAGCCAACATTGCCACCTCAGTGGGCTTCCACTTGGTTTAAATCCACCTGGTTTTAAGTCCTTATGTTTATTTCCCATATATTATCCACCCCAATGAGATTATAGACTGAGTAAACCCATAATGAGGATTTGCAATATTACAATAAAATAGTAATTTGCAGAAAAGCTAAACGCTCGTGTGGCAGCTGCAACACTCGCTTTGTTTGTGTTTGTTAATTTTATCGTAAAAAAATAAAACAATTTGTAGTGTAATGTACTTATTTATCTTTTGCGATAACTTTATTGTTGTTTGCGCCTTTTGTTTTGGTGCCATTTCTTTATTTGTTCATTCATTTTTTATTTTGCTAGGCAGTAGGGTTTTCATTTGCTGTATATAGGTTTTCGTCATATATAATTCATGTACAGCGTTGTGGGATGCAATTAGCATCAACGGCGCTATATAATATTTAAGTATTATTATCATTAATCCCAAGTACGAGCTGCACAAATCTTTCATTTTCCATTGACAGAAGAATGGTGACGAATGTCAAGCTGCTGTGGGATCATCATGTCTTTAGACGCCACCTGAGTTGGAGAGAGCGAGCCGCCATTTGCGGAAATTAGGGTCACGAAGGATTTCGCAGTTTCTTCACCCGTGAGGTCACTGCACTGAAATCCAGGCAGCAGGTTCGGGGCGGTGCTGGAATGTAAAATGCAGAGCATTGTCATCACATGCCACCTCACATGCCACCTTACGTGCCACCTCACATGCCACCTCACATGCCACCTCACATGCCACCTCACTTGCCACCTCACATGCCACCTCACATGCCACCACACATGCCACCTCACATGCCACCTCACACATGCCACCTCATGCCACCTCACATGCCACCTCACTTGTCACGTCACATGCCACCTCACACGCCACCTCACATATGCCACTTCACACACTTCACACACGCCACCTCACACACTTCACACGCCACCTCACACACTTCACACGCCACCTTACACGTGCCATTTCACACAACATCTGTGGAGTTCAGATTGTAGTTCTCAACCTTTCTGGTACACTGCCCCCAACGCGCCCCCCTCCACGCCCCCCAATCAATAATACTGATATGGATCAATAGTGATCCCTATGCCCCATCGCCTAGCCCAACTCATGGCTGTTTTTGGTGTACATGAGTTGCTGGAACATATCGAACAAAGTGATGTGGATATCATAACGGGTGTGTTCCCTCTGGATTCAAAACCCAGTTAGTCTCGACAACTGCCTATCATACTCTCTGGCCACGTTCGCTCCTCGAGCCCACTTACTTTTCTTATCCCTCTATATTAGACATCCCTTAATCACCACTATCGTGACATGAAGAAAGAAATATACAATTATACCACGAAGTACCCTCCTGCAGGCTAATGAAGCCCTTTGTTAGTAAAGTCACCAGCATGGTATCCCCCCACACCCCAGAAAGGAATAAGAACTGCTGAATTAAGGCTTTAGATACACTCCGCCAGGGTTCGTTAAGTGATGACCCGAGGGTAAGATGTAGTGGCCTGCTGAGCTGCGGCTCGCCGGGAGATGTGGCCATCGAAGACAAAAAAAGAGGTACAGATTTTATTGAGATGATAGGGACGGGAGAGTTGTTGGCAAGCGTTACAAGTTTTGGTGATTTGAATGTCACATCAACAAGGGTTGAGAGATGAAGACCACAGACGCACTTGCGTGAGATGGGACGTAAATAAGAGAGAGAGAGAGAGATGAGAGACATTAATGCAAGAGGTACACATCAGTTGTCACATGTGCGGATGCTTGGTGACATCAACACCTCTGCACATCCGACATGACGTGGCTCGTTCCATGAAAATGTATGAAGCTGCAATCATATCACCTGCGGATTTTTTATTATTATTCCCCTCCCTGCCAGACTGATATTTACAACTTTTCTTGTATATTCGAATGTGGAAGGCACACAGGAGTTGCGCGACTGACAACTTAAAACTATCATACCAATGGCCTCGTGAAAAAATGTAAAAAAAAAAACATTCAATAATGTACTTGCCGAATTATTTCGGTCCAGTTTGCGGTCTGAGTTTTCACCAGGTTGCCGACCAAAACCAGAGCCTGCAGAGATAACGAGGGCATACATGTGTCATCTTGATTAAGAGCAATTGTGTTTACAAACACAGCTGCAAAAAATACGCTTCAAAAACAAACTACAGGTGACAGTGATGTCTAGCGGAGTCTGAGGCCGCCGTGTAAGTCAGGGCTTTTATTTCCCCAAGTGGAGGCCCTTCCGCCAGCGATAGTGTTACCAAGATATTGAAGGTCTGCACCTACATCATTAGACCTTCTTTGCCAGTACCAAAATATGATAGGGTTTTTCCCCTTTTTTCTGGCAACAAAATTGAAACATTTTTAAAAGGATTCATGTCTCCATTAACCACAATACCTGCAGTCACAATGCAAACAAAAAACATACTATGATAATATATGCATTGTCCTTGAAACTGATTGGTCCACACCAGAGACGGCTTTCTTTTGAGCCTCGTCTCGATTGGTGCTAGACCAGAGGATGCCAAAAGGCGTACAGCTCACAGACAATGCACTATCAAAGTAATGAGGGCTCGGGGTCAAGCATCTACATCATTAGACCTCCTTTGCCAGTACCAAAATATAACAGGGTTTTTCCCCTTTTTTCTGGCAACAAAACTGAAACCTTTTTAAAAGGATTCATGTCTGCATTAACCACAATACTGCACCTTTTTATCTTTACTGGAAACAATGTTAGTATCACACGGTCAGATTCCCCAGCCAAAAGATTGTGGGATTATTTCAGCTCAAAGATGTGCTGCAGGAGTCTGGGTTCACAGAGGCATGCCTAATCCTCACCTGTCCTTCTGACCACTGCCCTTTCGCAAGGTTCTTGGGCATCCAATTACCCGCATTCTGCAGTCTACCTGCGGGAATGTGGGCCAGCAACGATGGCGGAAGACTATCCATCAGTTGTGTTGTAGGGTTCTTCATCAACAGCTGCAAAGAGAATAATAAAAGTTGGTATGAAAAAATATCAAAAAAATAACTCTCCAATGTGTCACCAGGCTGTAACCGTGTGGTGTTCAGCATGATCACTGACGTTTCGCTCCACGTGCTGAGAGCTTCTTCAGCACGTGGAACGAAACGTCGGACAAGAGGTTGAGAGAGTCAAAGACCTGCCATTTGGCAGAGGACTAAATAAGAAAAAGAGAACTTGGCCCAATAATCTTCTGATAATACTTGACCGTAAATACGGTTGGACCCACCTTGTTGACAATAACCGACTGGACACCATCAGGAATAGTCGCAACGTTATCGGGGTTGCTTTTTGTCGCAAAGGCTAGGAGCTGATTCGAGTCCAGATTGGTGAACGTGCTGCTTGGTACTCCAGACACCAGTCCCCCCAGCTTGGTCAGGGCATCTGCATTGTTCACCTATGGACACACGTCGTGTGGAGACAAGCACAAGGCAAAGTCAGACCGGATATTAGCAATGTGGTGGTGCTCGTCACGTAGCACGGGCCGGTCTGTCGCCAAAGATAACTCCATCTGATCTCACTGCCCCTGCTTCACCTCGCCACGCTTCGCTCTGCACCAGGGTTCTTGAGACATGACTTGGGAAGGATGGTCGAGGTGGCCTCCCCTTACCTTACTCAACGGTGCTTGTTTTGTGTGTGTTCGCCAGTTCGATTCTCTCACTCTCTCTCTCCCGGAGTGGCAGTTGTGACATTTTGGAAGGTTTCTAAAATCCTCACGGCCTCTGTCCACCCACAGTATAAACGGGTACTGTATACTTACAGTTGATCGGCAGGTGGCACGGGGACTCCCCCTTCCCCCATTCCCAGATGTCTGGTCAGCATGGAAGAGTAGGACTAAACACCCTCTAGAGGGGCCTCTCCAGTGCCCCCTGTAATGGAGGCTCTTCTGCCAGCAGTTCCGTGAGCAAGAAATTGCAGCCCTAATCCTTTAGCTTCCACATTTTTATCCCGATCAACAATCGGTATTTTGCTCCAATCTGGAATTTTTTCATGCCAGCAACATCTTTGCTGTCCTGGTTTTCCCGGGACATCCTGTTTTCGAAGTAACTCTACTTAGTAATCGTTAAGTCTTCCAAGAAGAATAAAAATCCCGGATTTGTATCAGTTGCATCACACATCCCTACTCTAAAGACAACGCATCAAAATGTAGTCCCTTTTTATTTTGACATATTCAGCTTCCCATGCAATGTCCCTCAGTGGTAGCAACCCCGAGTGTCGAAGTGGTGGTCGAACTTTACAGATCCTGTCTGTCATCTAACCGATAACCCCTAAAATTCCAATAAGGCGACATAATTGTCTCTGAAAGACACCTGCTGGCTAAAGCGACCTCATTCACTGCCTCGAACAAAAAGCATACCGGAGAGAGTTGTGCTGGCGGAATTCTCACGCTCACAAATTTCCAACTCACGGTGAAGTTCGCAGCCTTCAGTTTCCTCACGATATTTTGCGCCTGCCCTGGGTTCCATCCCGTTTGGTTGCTGAGAGTGTCCAGCGCCAGCAGAGCGGTGGTGCTGCTCAGATTCTTGTCGATGGCGTTTAATGGAGCGTAAACGACTGCTGATCCCAGGTTTTGTATCGAGGCCGGTTTCAAGTCTGTGTATGTGGTCAGAAGATTCAATGAAACCTGGAAGAGGCGTGAAAGGATTGAGAAATAACAGTTGGTAAGAGTCAGGGTTTCATTTCTCATGGAATATTTTCCCAACTACCCCCCCCCCCGCCACTGTATAAATATTTTCCAGAGCTCAGCCCCAATAAACTCTAGCTGAAATCAATCTGCGGAGAATGTGAAATCAGAAGTATAGAGGCCACTATTTAAAACCACACGAAAGCCCATTTGAAACTAAAAATATGCTTTTCAAGAGAGACCTGGGTAATGAGGAAATAAATACCAACAAATACAAAAAGCAATGAAATATATCACACCATATGCAAAATATGCTTCAAATCAAATTGTCTGATATTCACCCAATTTCATATATCTCGAAGCCAAGCTGGTTTGAGCCTGGATAGCGCTTTGGATGGGTGCCTACCATCACAAACAGATTGTTATAGGCTGCGGTAAAGCTATGTGGTGGGCAACAGATTGCAGTGATGAAAGAAAGCTGTACTATACTCTACGCTCCCCCTGTCTATATTCTCCACCTTCACCAACTCACACTGACCAGCGCAGTGAAGTATGGTCAAATAACCCCCATGACCAACGCAATGTCAGGAATAATCTCATCCATCAGTGAATTGAAAACGGGGCTATACAGTATAACCACTCTTAACGACGGTAATTGGTTCCACGAAACCGGTCGTTAAGTGATTTGGTTGTTAAGCGAGTATAGGAAATACATGTTAAAGGCGTAATTCGTTCCGATAGCATCAAATGTAAACAATGCCCCAACGCTCATGAATGGACGTCGCTGATTGGTCGTGGCCTGGTCAGACACTTGGAGCTCTCTGATTGGCCGAAATTGGCGGTCGCGTGCTCGTCGTAAGCCCGTTGTTAACAGGGGAATGATCGGTAAACGAACACATTGGCCTCTATGGAGGCCCATCGTTAAGTGATTAGTCCTTAATAGGGGTGTTCATTAAGAGGGTTCTACTATACATGTACATGAAACAAATAAAAACATCGTGAATGTATTAAGTGCATAGATTTTTTTTTTAGATGCATTTAGCAATGACATGTAGTTCCAACTTTTTTTTTTAGTTTGGCGTGTTAAATTTAATTTCGATTTGATGACCGTGACACATTAGTTGCACTGATGCAATGCCAAAAATGCAGTGATAAAAAAACAGTGATTCCATGTAATTTGAATAAGTGATTTTTAAAAACATATTATTTTTCTCATCAACGTTTAAATTTTAGCTAGTTTCACAAAAAAACGATAAAGCACCAACATTGACAATTTTAGTTTACCTAGACTATTTTTATTTTACCAGGTAAGGCCCACTGAGCTATATAGTTCTTTTTCAGAAGAAACCTGGCCACAAATGATAGCTCAACGAAGTGGTTTTTCACGTGGAAATTTATAGCAGCCAAATACTCTAAACTCGTGTTTCTAAATGTAGAGGGAAAAACCGGAGGACCTGGAGAAAAATCCACGTGACCACAGGGAGAACTGCAAACTCCAAATATACACGCGTCAGGGTCCAGATCGAACCCACAACCTCGTGTATACCAGGTGAAGTAGTTAACATCTTGCCACCGCGGCCCCCTAAATGAAATCTCAAAGCACTCGCAGATCAGTATGCTTTACAAAGGGAATAAATGAAGGTCGCGTTGTGGGGGTGGCGGCGAAGGGGGTCAGGGCCAGGAAACATGGGAGCAGAAGAGAGAAAAAGGAGGCAGTAACTCCATGGCAAAGCCCAGAGGACTATGCAACCACAGTCCAGCGAGTCCATCATCGTCAACAACGATGACGACAACAGCAATACTTTGATTTAAAGCTTTCGTGACTGCAGGGATTCATATTCTTGGTTCTTTCGGTAAAAGTCACGTAGAAGGGAAACAATAAAATAATAATAAAACATTTTCTTGTTGTGGTTTTCACACCTGATGATGATTGCTTGTGTTGCAGTCGAAACGTCGTGACAATTTTATTGTTTTATATTTTTATTCTTTTATTGTTTCCCTTCTACGTGACTTTACCGAAAGAACCAAGAATATAACAGCAATTCTCTCTGGTTCTTTCGGTAAAGTCACGTAGATAGGAAAATAGCTAATAGATCACGACGTTTCGATAGCAACGCAATCCATCGTCTTCAGGTGAAACAATACAGCAGGCGGACTGCTGAGGCAGGAGGAAATGTAGCGAGAGAACTGCTGCAACCAGATTTGTGGTGGGTACAACCCAAGGGTAAGTGGGCGGGGCTAGGGATGGAATTTGCAAGTAAATGTAAGGTTAGCAAACGTAAGGCTTGTAAACGTCAGCTTAATGAAAGTTACAGAGCGAACAAGATGATAGAGAGTAAAAAGAAAATAATATCAAACTTAGCCAACTTAGAAATGTAATGCAACTCAGAGAGGGTTGTACCCACCATAAACGTATGTAACCTCTGGTTGCAGCAGCTCTCTCGCTACATTTCCTCCTGCCTCAGCAGTCCGCCTGCTGTATCGTTTCACCTGAAGACGATGGCTTGTGTTGCTATCGAAACGTCATGATCAATTAGCTAATTTTCTACCTACGTGACTTTACCAAAAGAACCAAAGAGTATTAATTCCTGCAGTCACGAAAGCTTCAAATCAAGACAACAACAATCCCAAATTAACTGAATGTCATACTTATGTAGTAGGCACTCCACTTATATGCAGGTGAAAAGTACCTTTTCCATATCTCTGGGAAGTGTGATGGATTTCAGACAGTTGCTGAGATAACTCTCCAAACCTACAAACAAAGCAACTGGAAGGCTGCTGCCATATTCTCCGACGTACGTGCACAGAAGTGGCTTCGGCACGCTGATCCGGCACACACGCATACACACGCACGCGTGCAAAAAGATGCACATTCAATACAATAACAAGCAGTGCACCTGTGATGAACATTATTGTCAGTAAATAATCCCCCAACAACCTTTATTATGAGTTATAAATAAACGCTCGTGGTGATTTGCTATGAGCAGACACTGCTGGCCTTTGGCGAATTTATTCAACGTTCAATTCACACGCACATTTCACAATCGTCAATTTCTTTACCGCCGAAGAAATTTACACGGAAGTGAGAATTAAGCCATCGCCACAGTTTCCACACACAGCCTTGCGGCAAAAGCACCTCCGATTCACACGGTTGGCTATGTATGGCGCGATCTAAGTTCAACATGCGTACATACAGAGGCGAAGTTGTGAGGTGTCTCACCTGGAAAGCGGCAAACTGGCCTCGTTCATCATCTGCACCAAGTAGCGCCGCAACTCTATGTCCATGTTGTTCGGTGTCTCGAGGAGTTTCAGCGTGCTGGCGTCGAGAACAAACGTTTTCCGCTGCGCAAAATCCAATTTCACGTTAGTTTGCCGTGTGCAGGAATGGACGCCAAGTGTGACGATGAGCGTATCTGGCTTGCAATTTGCAGGTGACTATATGAGTTCGATTTGACCTCCTGGTTACGACTATTGAAACAAGGAGGACATTTGTCGCATCCGCCTTCCGCCCCCACCCGGCACCTCCGATGAGCACACTTGGCTACGTACGGTGTGAAAGAAGTTCAACATACGTACACAGCAGCAGTGTAAATGGATGCACCGGTGAGTGGAACGGCAGGTCGCGCGGTCGCCTAATGTGTGTGTATGCCCACCTCTTACACGACGCCTGATCAGCACGGGATATGTTAAATACCCTCTACAGGGTTCTCTCTCGACCTCCCTTTAGTGGAGGCCACGATGCACAGCAGTGAAGCAATTAAGCCAGTGCACAACTGAAACTTTGCTGGGTTTTTTTTTATATTTACTGCAAGGGGCAGCGCGGTGTCACAGTTATTGAGTGCAGTATACTACGGCAAAGCCAAGTTAGATTCCTGGCCACAGTTAACATCAGCGGTAAATGATATCTCAACCAGTCCTGGGTTTCCTCCCTAACTACTAATGAGGTTAAGTATGGTCATGGGGAATTCCTCATCCAGCAGTAAATTAGCTAATGGGCAAACACTATTCCATTGCATCTCCTCATATCACGTGTGCGATATGTACGGGATAAAGCGGTTCCCCCTTCGCACGTGTTGTGGATTTTCTCCAGGTGCTCCTGTTTCGCTCACACGTGTAAACGCTCAACAATTGGCTAAAACATATTAATATATATAGAGCACCGCAGAACTTGGATAACTGTGCGTGCTGGCTCACCATCTCGCTGCTCCCCAGTTATCCTGTTGTTCCTCAGCAATTGTGAGATGCAATTTGCACGAATGACAACACTATATGTGAAACTTAAAACATCTGTAAATATTGTGCAACAAGATGAGGTGAGCTGTGTATCTGCTTTTACGTGGTTTTAATTGCAATGCTATATACATTTGTATCATTACATTATATTGATTGGGCTACATCGCTTTGTTTATATATTCAACTAAAGGTTTTGTATATTTACACGAGGATAAGTGTTGGGCATTCACTTCATTTTATCCCGTGTAAAGTTCTCTGAGAAGCCTTCAAATTGGTGTGAAGTGATTCTACGTAAAGATCCATTGGCATTCGTGGAAAGTTACCTGTGTGGTGTCTTGGACCAACCCGTTTAAGTCAGATAGCTTCGAGAGCAGGAAAGACTGCCCCATGTTGTCAACAATCCAGCTGTTCTTGCTTGCAAAGCATGGTGGCAGCGTTCCTGATTTGGCTGTGGAATCACAAGTTACGTATCATTTGAGATGGAATCGTGGATTAATTTCTCACTCCATATTATCTGGAGACGGTGGCAAGCTGGCCTGGAGTAGAGATTATCTGAGTAAGGTGCTTGCTTCTATGACAGTAAAAGGAACGCCGATCCATAACAATCAGGACTATTTTATATAATTCTGTATTCCTAGAATCATATAAAAACAATACGTGTCATATTAATGCATGAATATGTAAGCAAACAAAACATTTAAAAGCAAATACAAACTATTTTATTTTATTTTATTGCCAATGCAATTTCAAGCAATAACATTGCGGGACTGTTTTGGCTGAAATGAAGCACGAGACATTGTATTCAGTGGAGCACTTGGCAAGGTGAGCCACACTGATTCATTAATCCAAAGCATCAAACTGTTTGGCAGCCTCAGCTATAGAAACATGTCAAGTGTGTTACGGAATCTCTCAAATTTAAAGTTACCCAATCTATCTTTCCGATAAAATGTTAGCATCCTCCACATGCACCTATAATCAACAATGTCAAGTTTATTTTCTAGCCGCTTTGTTAGGGTCCAGCTCTAATCCATGCAGAGATTCCTCCTGCCGCAAACGCTTCTGTAATTCAATTAAAGATGACCTCTTTACGCTTCCAAAGAAGTTTATGTAATATATAAAAAACTCCATCCTGTGAATGCAATACGGCTAAAGTATGGCTTAGTTAGTATTACAATTGAATGTATTTGGAAAATGTCAACAGCATAAATAATTTCGCCGAGTCTGAACTTTTAGTGGAGCGGTGGCACGGTGGTTTACACAATATCCTATGACCTGACTTCGATTCCCGGCCATGGATCATCCTATGACCTGACTTCGATTCCCGGCCATGGATCATCCTATGACCTGACTTCGATTCCCGGCCATGGATCATCCTATGACCTGACTTCGATTCCCAGGTCATGGATCATCTTAGTTGTGAGTGATATCGGAACTGGCCCTGGGCCTTCCCTAAGTCGACTCAGCTTTAAACGAGAACCCGGCGCAGATGTGTAAACATCATATTAATGCATGGACATGTAACCCACCGTGCCACCACTGCACTTCCCCAACACTCTATATGGGGTGGCCTTTGGTGGTGGTAGAATATTTGCCAGTAATGATAGTAAGTAGTAGTGTAGATCATTAATTGGTTGAATGCGTAATCGAGAATTGTTAACATTCAAAATCCATACCTTTATTTAGATAACTCATTATCCACTGGTAGGTTGCCTGTTTGGTATCGTTACTGCTCAACCCAGCATCCAGTATTCCAACACTGAAAATAAGATGTGTTGCCGTTATCATGAGCAGCAACAGCAGCAGTAACAACAGCAACCACATCATCAACAAAACTATCAGTGGCAGCAGCAGTATTATTATCATCATCATCTTCTTCTTCATCAATGATGATCACTTCGCTCATCAGCAGCTGCAGTATCATCATCAATGGCAATCACTTGGTCAAGAATCACAAATAACAGTATTGTTTCATCATCAGCAGGAGCAACAGCAGCAGCAGACATTTTATATCAACGCCAAACAAAGCATAGAAACGCAGCAGGCATCAGACACCAGTTCCACATATGTCAGCATGCATATTCATTTTCTTTAAGTTACTCACAGGAAATCAAAGTTATTGCAGCTCATTACGGTCGGAAGAGCAGCTACGTTGGCTGCCGTGATGCCCGGCAGGATGAGTGGAGACAGCCGGTCCACAAACCACGTCTTCACGTCCGCATCGGTGAAAGAGTTCATGGTGGGGCTCATTTTTTCCCAGGCCCCTTGCATGAGGGCGGCTTGAGAGGCCTTGGGCACCGTCTTTCCTGTCGCCTGTGATAAAAAAATGATCGGCTTCAGGAACCGAACAAGGCTCCCACTAAATTTCGATTTAAAGCTTTCGTGACTGCAGGGATTCATCTTCTTGGTTCTTTCGGTAAAGTCACGTAGAATGGAAATAAAATAATAAAAATAAAACATAAGAAAAAAATTCTCACGACGTTTCGGCCACAACACAAGTAGCCTTCTTCAGGCGAAGGAACAGAACTGTCGGGACGACAGCACTTCAATGAACACTGCTAAGCTTGGCAGTGTCTTTTAAGCTGGGTGGGAGGAGCAGAGCACCTTGACAAAGGAGTTTACACATCAACAGAAGAATTTAGCATTGAAGTAGCTGTGTAAATGTGTTGGATTAGCAGGGTGTTAAAGTCAGAAATTAGCATGTAACTGGGAGATTAGCATGATGTTAGTGTGAGGGATTAGCATGTAACTGGTCACGGAAGTAGCTATGTTAAAGTCAGAGTTTACATATGAACATCTATGCTCGGAACGGAGGAGGGGGGAGAGAGCATAGATGGACTCGACCGTCTGAACAAAGCTCGTCGCTTTCCGTGGTGCTAACGTTGAAAAGAAAAAAGAAACCGCCACTTTTTTCGTCAAAGAAATTAGAATTGTAATGTATAACGACTTATTGTTAGTAACTCAGCTGATTGGAGAGTATATTGAGTTTATTGATAACATTGATGTAGTTTCTATTTTAGTTTCTTTATCAGTTTACTATATGGTATTCATTATATAGTGTAGTGTATACCGAGTTACTTTAAGTTAATAGCTCAACTTATTGAAGAATATACTGAGTAATTTATTATATTTATGTAGTTTATACTTAGTTCTTTCACATCGGTTTATTGTATGATAGTTGGGTAGTTGCAGTTCTTTAGCGTCAATATACTAAATGCCTCTGTTGATATGTAAACTCTGACTTTAACATAGCAACTTCCATGCCCGGTTACATGCTAATCCCTCACACTAACATCATGCTAATCTCCCAGTTACATGCTAATTTCTGACTTTAACACCCTGCTAATTCAACACATTAACACAGCTACTTCAATGCTAAATTCTTCTGTTGATATGTAAACTCCTTTGTCAAGGCCCTCTGCTCCTCCCACCCAGCTTAAAAGACGCTGCCAAGCTTAGCAGTGTTCATTGAAGCGCTGTCTTCCTGACAGTTCTGTTCCTTCGCCTGAAGAAGGCTACTTGTGTTGTGGCCGAAACGTCGTGAGAATTTCATTTTATTACGTTTAATTTTCATTGTTTTATTTCCATTCTACGTGACTTTACCGAAAGAACCAAGAAGAAGGCTCCCACTACGTGGAGCGAAACGTTGGACATCATGCCGGTTGATCAATACAATGGTGGGGTGCCGAAACCCTCAGGGGTTGGGGGAATGGGGGAGTGGGGGGGGGGTAAAGGGGGAGTAGTAGAAGAAGAAGAGGGACCGAGCGATATATGTGTAGTTTATCAATATTTATAATGAACAGGAAAGATTATTCAGGGTTTGTTTGTTTTTTCATTCACAAGTGGAGCCCGGCCTTACCAGACCCAAATCTCGAGCTGCCACTGGCCAGATGGATCGGTGTAAGAGTGAGCGGCTCACAATTGGAAGGTTCTGAGTTAAAATCCAGGTTGGGGTTTGACTCAGCCCATTATCCTATTTCATCTGGAGTAAATAAAATAGGTACTACATTCTTTGTGTCTTTCCGTAAAGTCACGTGGATGGGTTCCAAAGAAAATAACAAGAAATAACTACGACAATCGCTTGCGTTGTGATAGCACCGTCGCAGTTTTTTGTTATTTTCTATGAACCTATCCACGTGACTTTACCGAACAACCCAAAGAATATGTGTAAGTCAGCTGTGGTTGTCCTGTGGATAGACTCGTGCCCGCCATAGGCATGTGGAATCCACTTCTGAGGGCTGTAAGCAGGTGATGCGTGCTGCCTCAATGCTCACTTAACCAATACATTCCTTTTGAATGTTTGACTGGTGGAGGCAATTCACCTTTTGGTTGAACTCGTCAAGAAACTGTCCGAGAGCGCCAAGGCCACTGAGTTTGGGGAAGATCGCCGCCAGGCTGGGGGCGTCGTTCAGCACGGTGTCCGTCGCAGCGTAGTCTCCCAGCTCGATCGGAGAAGCGATCTGACTCAGGCGTTGTATGGTGGACAGAAAAAAAAAAGAACGGGCATCGCGTGAATCAAAACGTAAAATATCTCTAAATTCAGATCGAGTGGTTCTGATTATATTCAACTCATCGAGATGACAATGGATGGATAAGTCCAGTCCCAAGTGGGATTTGTAATGGGTGATTTAACCATACTGGTGTGCTACCCAGTCAGTTATAATTTTAAAGGGTGCATTGAAATGTGTGGATATGATTATCATGAATACACTATTACCATTTTGCATAGTTATCAACATCAAAGGAAAAGCACATGCACAGGTAAGACAATACTTAAAACTGAAAATGAAAGTTATTATTCCGGACCATCGTCCATCCTCTCTTCTTGCAACATGCCCTGTCCAAGTATCCCCACGTTGCCTCCACATAATTAAGCCCACTTGCTTTTAAGAATAGTTTGGATGATGTCATTAATCTGCGTATGTTTTCTACTTTCACGTTCCTCTGTCTCTCGATGTAATTCCACATGCTTTGTTGCATACTTTTCAGTTGTGCTCTTTATTTTTCATATATGACCATTTCCGTGCAGTTGAAAATCAGATAATAAGCTACAATTGTACTTATGCAATAAGCTAAATTTATTAAAACATGTAACGAACTTTTAACAGTGGTAGATTGTACAAAGGCTGAGCGTATCCGTTGTTTGAAACTGCAATGCTGAAGTTAGGATTTTTTACCGCAGCATATGAAGGGAAGACTTCCTTGAAATCAGCTTCCGTGGCATTGTCTCTGAATTTCCCAAAATAATCAGTGAGCAGATTGCTGCTCGTTATGGAAGGTGTGCACTTAGAACTGGCGACAGCTGTTGAATAAATGAATCATTTAGTTATTTAACAAATCAGTCAGAAAACACAAACGCTCTTCGCAAAAAAAATCGTGTGCGCTCGCAGAGTTTGCTTCTCGAAAGGAGCGGATATTTAAAGAGTTCTCCCACCTGGCTTCACAAAGTTCTTGATTTTTTTGACCATTTGTGGTTTAACGTTCTCGTTGAGTTGAGAATAGACCGCACTCAAGCTCCCAACTCTGCAAGGGTAAAACAAAAGTCTCGTTACAAAAATCCGAAACACATTTTTTTTGTTCGCGATTGCTTGTAAGCCAATTTGGGGTTGTCCCGATTGACCTGGGAATGTATTCTTTCAAGCCCACACCAAGCACGACTGCAGGCATCTGCAGGAAATGACATGAGGATCCCCGCGGTCGTGCGTGGCATGTCCATTGGTTAGCGTTTCTCTTTCGGCTGGGAGGGTCATTTTAATTTTGAAGATTGAAAGCTGCGAAGCTGTGTTGCCCAATGTCCCATACCGCACTGGAAGGACTATGATATATGGTCTGACGTTCAAAGCTCTCATCAAGTTGAGAATAAAACGGTAACTCACAGATCTGCAGGAGTTAAATATTTGGCTCTTAACAAAATAATTAGTGATACGAATACATTCCATCCTTAATAACTGGTCTACGTTATTCTTGGTTCTTTCGAAAGAACCAAGAATATGAATCCCGGCAAATCACGAAAGCTTTAAATTGAAATTTAATTGCTCTATGATTGGTGCAAGTTAAGATTGGCCCTGCTCAAACCAAGGAAAGCCTTTTGCTGGCATGTAAATAAAGGATTACATATTTAAGGGTAATAAAATAAATAAAAATTCAGCGCCCCCCTATGTAACATGAGATTAATTGAATAATCAGGAGGTTGGTTCAGTGTGTAACGACTTGCATTTACACTGATAACACAATTTGTCTGAATGTAAATTATTGTGTTTGTGTCTTTTGCCGGTTGTGACCTTGTAGTGTGCTGTACATTTACAAGTTTAATATTGAAAAAAAAAAATCTAAGTCCTGCCCTTAGCTCGTGACTTGGATGTCAGTGTGAATGCCATCGTTTGCACTGTGACGCTGACATGACATAAACGTGACGCTCACGTAACGCTCACGTGATGTGAACGTGACGCTCACGTAACGCTCACGTGATGCTCGTGTCACGCTCACGTGACGCTCACGTGATGTGAACGTGACGCTCACGTGACGCTCACGCGATGTGAACGTGACGCTTATGTGACGCTCACATGGTAGTAAAAGCCGGGCAGGAAAGTGTCACGGGGATGGTGTCCGCGTCTACGTTGGTGATGCCGGGCAGGACGTGTGGCGACAGCCTGGCCACAAACCACTTCCTCACGTCCTCGTCTGACAGTGTGGCCAGGGTGGGTCCCAAAATGGGCCAGGCATTTTGCATCAGAACACCTTGGGAAGCCTTGGGCACCGTCTTTCCATTTGCCTGTGATAGAAAGGGGCACAGGTTACATTATTTGTGGTAATCTGTGGTGATATCCATGGCCTCGTGGGACAAAACGGTAATTCAGGGGCAAGTTTCCGAAATATCTGGAACTCCCTTCCCTCTGGTCTTCACGCTGATACAGTGAGGGAAAAAAGTATTTGATCCCCTGATGATTTTGTACGTTTGCCTACTGACAAAGAAATGATCAGTCTATAATTTTAATGGTAGGTTTATTTGAACAGTGAGAGACAGAATAACAACAAAAAAATCCAGAAAAACGTATGTCAAAAACGTTATAAATTGATTTGCATTTTAATGAGGGAAATAAGTATTTGACCCCTCTGCAAAACATGACTTAGTACTTGGTGGCAAAACCCTTGTTGGCAATCACAGAGGTAAGACGTTTCTTGTAGTTGGCCACCAGGTTTGCACACATCTCAGGAGGGATTTTGTCCCACTCCTCTTTGCAGATCTTCTCCAAGTCATTAAGGTTTTGAGGCTGACGTTTGGCAACTCGAACCTTCAGCTCCCTCCACAGATTTTCTATGGGATTAAGGTCTGGAGACTGGCTAGGCCACTCCAGGACCTTAATGTGCTTCTTCTTGAGCCACTCCTTTGTTGCCTTGGCCGTGTGTTTTGGGTAATTGTCATGCTGGAATACCCATCCACGACCTATTTTAATGCCCTGGCTAGGAAAGGAGGTTCTCACCTGTTGTATATGGCCCTTTTTCCACAATTAATATCAATAATATTTGCCGATATTTTTTTTTTATAATTACTGAAATAATGAATGACGACACACAAACCAGATTCTCAGCAAACACAGAGGGAGGTCGTGAAAAGGCCATTTAAAAAATAATAAATCCGTGGTCCTCCCCACACACACAACGGGGCACCAGGAGATGGATCATAAAAGGTAATAAACCAAATCAAAGGAGACAGGGGGGGGAAACACTCCAAGAAATTCCAGGGCTCCATCTTGGAAACCCGAGACATAGTGGCGCCAAGCGAGTTAAACAATTTCCCTCTTATTTGCTACTAAAACGACGGTTAAAGTTCTAAATTCCACAACAAGGATAAGCTAACATTATCGATCCTTACACCCACTCCAATTAAAAACCAGGCCATAATCTACACCAGTGAATCATTACCCATTTATTAATTCGATATCAAATGATTTTCACCTTTAATACTCTTACTGTTAAATCACAAATCTTGGGGACAGTAAATACAGAGTTACATCAAGGGTTATCGAGAAGGAATGAGGCAAACGGGCAAACTTACGAAACGAGTTTAAACAATATTCCAAGAGACCCCGACCGCCTTTGTCTTCCCGCAGCGTGTGGGAGCAGGAATTACACCTTATCGCGAGGGCCATCTGTGCAGCGAACCGCGGGACTTAATGAGAAAACCCCCCAACCCCATAACACCCTTCGAGATCAAAGGGGTAAGGGGGCGGGAAGGAATCTCTCTCGGCGAGCGGTGCCCAGGACGGCGAAAAACCAGACAGACAGCATTAATTAACGGAAAGTCCAAAGAAAACTTGGTAACAAGAATAAGCTGACATTATAGGAATAAGCTCGGTAAACATGAACCAAAAATGATGATGAGGGTTAAACCCAGAGCAGCCAGAGAGAGAGGGAGCCTCCCAGCCGTCTTTGTCTTCCCGCAGCACGAGATAAGAATATGCATACACTCAAGAGAGCATTATCTCCTCGTGGAAATAAAATCAAATACCTTGAGTCACAGACAGAATCATAGCTGCAAGTGGTACGATACCAAACCGTGATGGAATAAATGTTAACTTTAAAAGCCTTAACGCCCTTTGTGCGTAGAGAAAAGGTCACACCGGGAGGGCCGACCGGTCGGGGAGGGTCACCCCCTCCCCCCCCAGGATTGTATAACGCAGATGGCTCGAGGGGATGACATACACACACGAACGCACGCACACACACCGGCCACGCCCCTCCACTGCGCAGAGCGGATAATTTCTTTTCGAATATAACGGCTCAACCATCATCTGAAAAAGTTCAGTTCAACAAGAAGCAGCGAGTTCAACAAGTAATCAGCCCGGCGAGCTGCAGAAGAGGGCACGAGCGGCTGGCTCCAACGAGCCCCGCGAATAACTAAGGATGGCGAGACTCGCAGGGTAGCGAGGTGCCACCGAGTGTGAGTTCAGAGCTGAAAGAAGAAGAGCGTGTGCCAACTTGACTCATCCAGCAGCGGAAAGAGCCTGCATCTGCCAGCACGAGCAGCCAAGCCGACGCCTCGAACGAGAACAAAGCCCAGTGGAAGGAGCCTGCTGCTGCCAGCAAACCAGCGGCCAAGCGCAGCTATTACAGCAGTGGAGAGAACCTGCTGTCAGAGAACCAGCGAAGAGCGCGTTCGGGCACCTCCACAGAGAGAGAGCGCGGGCGACACAGCTCATCACCCAGCAGCGGAAAGAGCCTGACCAGCCGCCCGTAAGCAAACGTGTCGGCGAACCAGCGAAGAGCGCGTGCGACTTGAGTCATCCAGCAGTGGGGAGAACCTGCTGTCAGCGAACCAGAGAGAGCGCGTTCGGACGCCCCCACAGAGAGAGCGAGCGTGATCGCGCAGCTCATCCAGCAGCGGAGAGAGCCTGCCGCTGCGGGCCAGCACTGAGCTCGTTCGAGCAGGAGAGGGCAGCGGTGCCGGCACAGCACATCACCCGCCGGCGTGAGACGCAGAGCGAGAGTTCAACCAACCATCGGTCGTATACCCTCCCCCCACCACACGACAAACCTGACGTCTGCTTGACGCAAATAATTAATTAAGTGGCAAAGAAGCCACACAACACGCCTATCGGGATAAATAAGGTTGTTCCAAAAAGTTATCTTTGGTTTCAAGAAGGGTTGCCATTCCAAGGTGGTGCATTAAATATCAACTGATCCGTGAAGAGTATTGCTGCCATTGAGTTACGTGGATAAGGTCATTTAGAAGCAACTCAGTCGTACGTTTTTTTCTTTTCAATGGCATAATCTTGCCAACGAATCTACTAACGCATATTTGTGCCTTTAGGAATAGTAGCTGTTTGATTGCTTTTCGTATGAATACCGTCGCATAATTTTAAGGACTTTATTCATAATTTCCATATGCTCGTGTTACACTGCATAATAATTAATTGCTCTGATATCCAAAGTGAAACAACGTGATAAGAATTGCCTAGAAGGTCTATGAATGGATGCGGTACTGTGTGGGAAATTTTCAAGTATACGAATTTGTATATTATAAAGTTAAGGTTTTTGTTTAGAATAGCGAATGCATGTCTTTAGCTTCTCTCTCTCTCTCTCACCAACTGAGCTCGCGTTACGCGGGGGAAGGAAAGTGAAACAACGCAGTCGTGATGATACTGTGTTGATACTGTGTTGGAATTCCAAGCCGAGAGTTGCATCTTTTAGAGTTAAGGTCTAGTTAGAAATAAATTGGTTAATGCAGAAGTTGTTGTGTGTTCTTTCCTGAAATTTATGCATAAGAACTGTATTCTGCGTTGAGATATGAATCTGGAGACCTAATATAAACGCAATAATACATACTCCGTAAATGTTAAAGCGAGAATAATTGTATTATACTGATCATTAATACGAAGTTAAACAGCGAAGCCGAGTTTAATCTGGCATGCTCACAGTAACTGCATAACTGCATACGATTAATTGTCTCATCCCGATTGGATACAACTTCATCAGCGAGGCGGGCCTAATTATCATAACGACCTGCATTAGCATAGTCACGCACACTCGCATAAATTAATACAATTATCTCTCGATTTAGCATAATTTATGTGCATAGATTATATCAATTACCATAACTTTGGATGCTTATGCGAATTTCAAATTTAATTTAATTTTTATTATTTTCATCAAATTTTCATAACTCACATATACAACACACCCAAGATTTGACGGTACATGGCCCCGTCCATCGTCCCTTTGATGCGGTGAAGTTGTCCTGTTCCCTTAGCAGAAAAACACCCCCAAAGCATGTTTCCACCTCCATGTTTGACGGTGGGGATGGTGTTCTTGGGGTCATAGGCAGCATTCCTCCTCCTCTAAACACGGCGAGTTGAGTTGATGCCAAAGAGCTCCATTTTGGTCTCATCTGACCACAACACTTTCACCCAGTTGTCCTCTGAATCATTCAGATGACCATTGGCAAACTTCAGACGGGCATGTATATGTGCTTTCTTGAGCAGGGGGACCTTTCGGGCGCTGCAGGATTTCAGTCCTTCACGGCGTAGTGTGTTACCAATTGTTTTCTTGGTGACTATGGTCCCTGCTGCCTTGAGATCATTGACAAGATCCTCCCGTGTAGTTCTGGGCTGATTCCTCACCGTTCTCATGATCATTGCAACTCCACGAGGTGAGATCTTGCATGGAGCCCCAGGCCGAGGGAGATTGACAGTTCTTCTGTGTTTCTTCCATTTGCGAATAATCGCACCAACTGTTGTCACCTTCTCACCAAGCTGCTTGGCAATGGTCTTGTAGCCCATTCCAGAGCCTTGTGTAGGTCTACAATCTTGTCCCTGACATCCTTGGAGAGCTCTTTGGTCTTGGCCATGGTGGAGAGTTTGGAATCTGATTGATTAATTGCTTCTGTGGACAGGTGTCTTTTATACAGGTAACAAGCTGAGATTAGGAGCACTCCCTTTAAGAGTGTGCTCCTAATCTCAGCTTGTTACCTGTATAAAAGACACCTTGGAGCCAGAAATCTGATTGAGAGGGGGTCAAATACTTATTTCCCTCATTAAAATGCAAATCAATCCATAACATTTTTGACATGTGTTTTTCTAGATTTTTTTGTTGTTATTCTGTCTCTCACTGTTCAAATAAACCTACCATTAAAATTATAGACTGCTGATTTGTTTGTCAGTGGGCAAACGTACAAATCAGCAGTTGATCAAATACTTTTTCCCCCTCACTGTAGCTTTCTTCTCCTATCCAAGTCCAGGTTGCAATCAAGACCTTCCAATTCTCCTCCACCTATTGAGTTTCATCATGATCCAGGGAGGTTCCTTCATCATATGTTGTTGCAAGTTTTTTTTCCTCTCTTCTGACCCCAAACATGGGGAAGCAGTGGAGCAGTGGTTAGCGCACTGCGCTATGAACCCATTGGCTAACAACGGAGGCGGATGACATCGAACCAATCCTGGACCACCCCATGCCTTCACTAACCCACACTGCCCATCGTGGTGATGCCTGGCCAATCAACTGCCATGACTGACAAGGCTTCCAGAAGCCTTCATCCAGCAGTGTATTGACACTGGGCTGTAATCTTTATATATTTAAATTAGCATTTGCTCGCAGAAAAAAATACCTCCTCTTTCCTCCAGTTAAAAAAAAAACCTCTCCCTTCCTAACCCCCGAACAATGTGCATGCTTCCCATCTTTGTGCAATGCAGCGGTGCGATCGCATTCATACCTTCACGTTGAACTCGTCCAAAAATGGCCCAAGCGTATTGTAGTTAATTGTGGAAAAGACAGGACTCAGGATGGCTGTGTTATTCAGCACATTATCTGTGGCAGCGTAATCGGCCAATTGCACGACAGTGAGAGACGCCAGAACTTGTCCCTAAAAAAAACGTAATACACGTACACGCACAACGACAAATGCGCATAAACCATTGTCACGTACAAAACCTGCGTAGGAGTTGACGCCTGTGTCGTATCGCGTCCCGTAGTGTTTTCGGGTTGCACCGCGTGTTTGTTCGGCAAGGTGCCCGTCGTTTTTCTCCACATTCTGGAAGCTTCATAGGGAAGCTCATTTCCTGAGGAAGCTTCCAGAATGTAGAGCAAAACGTTGGACATCATGCCCAACAACGCGCAGTACTAGCTGAGAACAATGTCGGAGAGGACGTGTGAACGTAACGTGTTCGATTGTAATGTATTTTATGTTATAACTTTCTTTGGTCGTACTGTTTTGGCCTTTGTTTAGTTGTCACCTGCTTTGCTTGTTCCACGATGTTGCTGACAAACTGACATTACATTATTCACATTATCGGCAGTTCACCAGCATTGATTCAAGCGAGCCTGACTGCTTAAGAGACACCTACGATTAGCACGGTTGGCTAAAGCATGTAAATGGTCGTGTTGAGCAGATTCTTATGCTGATTCAATGTGGGGATTACAATACTTACAGCGTCAAATGATGGTAAAACATCAACGATTTCGGCGTAGGTGATATTTTTCATGAATTTCATAAAGTACATTGTTATCAGTTGGGTGCTGCTAATTGAGCAACTAGCAGCTGTTAAAGCAAAAAATAAAACACATGTTAAGGCATACATGATTAACAGTGCCTTATAATACAAAAAATATACAGCCGGATAATGCCTTTTTTTATAAATGTCCTCTCTTCATAGGGATGAGGGCAGAGAGATTTGGCTGACTACAAGTTGAAGATCGTACTTTAGCCAATGGTTCCCAAGAATACTGGGAAAAGTTAAGAATGTGTACAAATTAACAACCTATCAATGCATCACAGCCCCAGAACAGCTCACGTGAACAGTGGAAAATACATTTTGATTTAAAGCTTTCGTGACTGCAGTAATTCATATTCTTAGCTCTTTCGGTAAAGTCACATTGAAGGGAACGAGCTAAGAATATAGTGGAAAATAAGTTTCAGTAATCCACCGGTTTGCATCGGGGGGGGGGGGGGGTGGGGGTGTATTCCTGAAAGTTGCGGCGACGAATATCGAAACGACGTCAACCGAAGCGATTTACAGAGCAGTAAGTGGAGGCGAAGGGTCAGAGGTGACGAACAACGAAACAGGACGGACGATGCCGTCAGCGACGCAAGCGTGGTGTTTAGGCGACCAAAATTGGGTAGTGGTATTCATAAAGTGACGACGTATTTGCAAAACGACGTGACAGCGGGGAGACGTGAATCGGGGTATTACTGTAATAGGCAGAATGTTACTTATCGCACATGCACAGTTTTGTGCTGGAAATTAAAACGTGACTTCCTTACGTGATTTCACAAATTCCTTGATTTTGGTCACCACCGCTGTTTTGATGGTGTCGTTAAGTTTGGCATAGACGCTGTTTAAACCATTGATTCTGAGAAAGGGAAGAACAAAAAGTTGTTTAAAAATTCAATCAATAAATTACATCAAATCGTTAGCAATTACTGTAGACACAATATCATGTCAATAAACAAATACTTGGTTACTAAATTAAAGCTCAGCCTGGTATTTACTGACAAATGACTCAGTAACTGATTAATTACCTTCTGGAAGGGATATAACGATGAAATGTGTTGCCAATATATTGGATTTATAACAAAACAATTGGAAAATCATGCGTCTTTGATTTTTTGTCCATCAGCATATGAAAATTCCCATAAGAATCGGAATCTGTATTTTTGTTTATATATACTGGAGGAATCTGATGAGCTATGAAGCTCTTTTTCACATATGTCCAGTAGGGGTGGGTCAGCAAGTTTCACACACAAACAATAAAACAAACGATAGGAGTGCAAAGTGTCGGAATATTCTTTGGTTCTTTCGGTAAAGTCACGTAGAAATTAAATAAATTAAATAAAATACGACGTTTCGATTGGAACACAAGCAATCGTCGTCAGGTAGAAAGCAAACCGAGTGAACTTAGAAATAAAATGCAATACAACAGAGAGTCGGCTAACATAACAGCCAGCACTTTACCTGCTTGATTACATTCTATTTAAAGCCTTGACATGGGTCTCTCTCTGTGTGTCTATGTTGTGTGTCTCTCTCTCTGTGTCTCTGTGTTGTCTCTCTCTCTGCTTGTGTGTCTGTCTGTGTGTCTCCGTGTCTGTGTTTTGTCTCTCAAATTTAGCAGTCTTTGGAAGAATGTAATTAACCAGGTAAGGTGCTGACTGTTGTGTTAGCCGACTCTCTGTGTTGGATTGCATTGTATTCCTAAGTTCACTAGGTTTGTATTCTACCGGATGACGATTGCTTGTGTTGCAATCGAAACGTCGTATTCTATTATTTAATTCATTTCATTTCTACGTGACATTACCGAAAAAAACAGAGTAATTCCTGCAGTCACGAAAGCTTCAAGTCATATAGGAATATTGCATATTCAGATTGCATATTAAAAAGCTAAATGGTCAATTCATACCACACCTGCCCCTACTCCCCACAATTAGGAGTGGTAAAAATATAACCTTTGCTGGTCTTCAAGGACGCAGACTCCAATATATTTGGCTTTAAAATGCGAAAGCCAAAATTTTGGATTTCTGAATCCCCAACTTTTATGGGATATAATTGTGAACTGTTTCATTTTGCAACATGTACCTATAAATCTTGACTTAAAGCATTCGTGACTGCAGGAATTCATATTCTTTGGGTCTTTCGGTAAAGTCATGTAGATAGGTTATTTTCTTTGAACCTATGAACGTGACTTTACTGAAAGACCCAAAGAATGTGCCTATAAAATGTGTACCTTGGATTTCTGACATCCTATCCTGGGATTCTGATGTCATATTCTGGGATTTCAACATCATATTGTGGGATTCTGACATCGTATGCTGGGATTCTTATAATGTATGCTGGGATTCTGCAAGTTATATGTTGGCATTGAATACAAATACATTTGAAATAATGCCATACTCCTGTAGTTTTCTTATTTTAGAGTGAATAATTGTAATTGTTTTTTCATCAGTTCCATGAATCGAGGTGCGCCTACCTTTGTTATCATTATTATGAGTATATTGTGTGAATGTCACTGTTATATTGCTCACATGCTCGAGAAAGCCGGACAGCTTATTGATACAGGAATGGAGGCGACATCTGCAGCTGTGATGCCCGGCAAGATGTTTGGAGACAGCTGTGTCCCAAACCACCATGACACTTCAGAACTTTCCATTGTTGGCAGATTAAGGATTAACTTGTCCCAGACTCCTTGAAACAGGACAACTCGAGATGCCTCAGGCAATTCCTTAGCCTCTGTCTGTGAAACACATGCAAGTAAATTACTTTACACACATTTGCAGATATGTTTGAAATCATGTTTAAAATCAATCATTTGAGGCTCTGTGGCGGGCTGGAACTTCTTCAGCAAGTGGCTGGAGTGGTCAGAGCTCTGAGCTGTCACTGTTGATGTCCTGGCTTCGAATCCAGACAGCCGTCCGTGATTAAACTGGCTTCTGAAGTGTATGTAGCGAGCTGATCATCTCAAGCTCGGTCACCAATGACTTCCCAACAACAACAACAACAATTCTGATTCATGCTCAGATAAATAATACAACAGTTTGACTGTCATCATGCCATGAACAACTACTTTCACGTGCAGAGCGGCCGGGAAAGTGCTGCCCTCTATTTTGTGGACCAGGGGCTACTTAAAGGGATCACAGACGTATCTCTGTGATATCCACTGCTGTGGACCATTCTCCAACACAAACGATTGGCACTGCATTGTGATAGATCTGAATAGATGATCATTAGCATGCCATGATGCTGATGGCACAATCATGATGACATTTCTTAATAACAAAAAGTGTTCAAACTTCAAGTTGTACTAAAAAATAATGTTCTTAGCCACTGACAGATATCCGTCCTTAAACACCTGCTGCTGGGATCACTATTGGTGTGTGTGTGTGTGATAGTCACAACGATATTATCAGAGTTGGAATTTACGGAATTAGGTGCAGAAGCTAATTTCAGTGTCTTTTTTTTATTTGCAGTCATTCGTGACTGGCCTGAGACCACCAACTTCTCGACACCCGAGAAATAGATTTAATCACAGGCAGCTAAAATCTGTATTCTAAATTAGGATTTAAGCATTGCTGGCTTGAGTGTTCTGATCTCTGAGCCACACGGCTAACCTCTTAAATGATTGATAGTTGTGCTCACCTGAAAGTTGAACTCAATCATAAACGTCTTGATGGCGTTGATGTCGTTGAGGTAATTGGCAAAGATTGGCGTCAGCTTAGTCACATTATTTAGTACTTTGTTTGTAGCACTATAGCCGGCGAGCTGAACAGGAGTGAGCATTTTCAGAACCGTTTCCTACACACGCGCACATGCAAGCAATGAGTTTCGGTAAAAAAATATATATATATAATTTCGAATTTTAAGAATTTCCGTCTTCTTCTGATTTTCAGATCGTTTACATTTTGTACGAATAAAAAAATGTCTTCGTGCTCACAAGTGTCATCAAACGATGCCACGCGGCATTTACTCTTGGTGGGAAAATCAAGGAAGTGATGTCAATGTAAGGATATCACTTCCTGTGCTAGCTTGTTTTCGTACCATCCGAAACTTCTTATCTAGGCTAAAATTTCAGATTTTTTTGATAATCTGAAAATTTAGAATACATCACAAATTCATACCGTGGAATAATTCAACAATATATACTGTTATACAATAGTTTAAAGTGTTTTTTTTGCACATATTCCATAGTTGGTACAGACTACTTTCATTTGGTGTATTGCAGAAATAAGCAACTAATTTTTGGGACAGAAACAAATGGTTTAAATTTATCTCCAAGTAATTTTGCCATGGAATGGTACTGATTTAAGATACATATATTTATTTGATGCCACCAATGCTTTTGATGGGTTAAAGACAGTGGTCCAGTTAATGGTAATCTGACACTCAGCGACTCGAGTTTGATTCCAGGCCATGGCTATTAACATAAATCAGTTTCAAGTAATATCAGGACCAGTCTTATCCGCCCCATCAACCCCCATTTCACCAATTTGCACTGCTGGTGAATTATGGTTTAAAAAACTCCGATGAACGACTTGTCATGGGGAAGCCTTCAAACCATTGGTGGACTGAGAATGTCTAGAATTTATGTCATTTTACAACATAGAAAAAAACACATTTCACCAATGTATTATATTATGGCATCAAATGCACTCATGTGCAAAAAAATTTGCATGGTAATGGTTTGTTTACGTGTGGTGTGAGATATATTACTTACAGCGTTAAATGGTGGAAATATTTTACAGAAATCTGTATATATGATATGTTCACTGAAGTTTCCAAAGTAATCGGGAAAGAGGGTTATGCTGGTCATGGCAGTCGAGCAATTTGAATTTAAAGTAAGAAAGTTTGTGATGAGTGAGGTCATAGATTTTTTAAAGTTTAAATCCAATGTATTGTTTAACTTGCTCAAACTCCCAGATCTGGAATGAAACAGAAAAAAAACTCTTCAATTCAACTTCATTAGTTTGCCAGAAAATTCACAAACATAAATAGACCTGCATTGACGGTAGAAAACGTTGAGTAATATATGGATACAGTGTTCAATCAACATTGTCTACGTCACGTGATTAAAAATAAATCCATACTTTTTACATCAAACTAAACTTGATAAAACATTTCAAAGTCAGTGATTATTTGCTCAAATTAAAATGTAGGCAGTGCTCATCTCCTGTTTATAGTTCTAAATAAGTGATGGAAAATCCACATTGCCATGGTGGGGACAGCTCTACCTATAGAATAACCACTGTTGACTAACTCATAAAGAGGTATTTTTTAATGGGCTCCGGGGAAACGATGAGCTGAGTCAACCCCCAATCAGGAGTTGAATTTGCACCCTTCCTATTGCGAGCCACGTGCTCTGCTGCTGAGCCACCTGGCCAGACGTTGAACATTTAATAATCAAAACATTTCAAAGACATAAAATGCAGAATTTAATATTACTTATAATAAATTATGACCTAGCAAATTACACAAACATTAGAAACAGAAGCTTTTTAGAACTCTTTAGTTCCAATTCACATCTATTACGCACACACAATATTTACACACACTCAATATGAAATTTACAAAACCATTTTAAGGAAGCCGAAACGTTGGAACATAGTGCAGTACAAGAGTATTTTTTTCACCCTGCTGTTCTGACAACGTAGCAGCATTCGTGTAAATATTTTTTAGCTGATTAGAATATTTATTTTTCAACCATTGAAGATTATGCAAAGAAGGATGCTTACTCTTGCATGAAGTGGAACACATGGGTTACAGAATATACACAGGTGATTGACTGCAACAAAAAGCAAGTGGCCTTGATGTGATGATGGCCGAGACTAACAATGGATCGGCAGCAAAAGGAGGGAACACGTCCTAGAGAACAATCTCTGGGGAGATGGAGCGGTTAAATCAGCTTGCATACAGAAGCTAGTTAGTTTGTTGCATCGCCTGACCCTGAGATAAGGAAATGCTTTGGGGAGACCTTCATCCAGCAGTGGATTGATCGTGGCTGATGATGATAATAAGGTGAAACACCTTAGTAAACACACTTTGTCCAACACCGAGAGCAGAGCATGTGGAAGCTAGTGGGAGTACCACCGCTCGTGCTGCGATACTCACATTGTAGACATAGTCGAGCAGGGAATTTTGAACAGAATATTGTTATAAGCGGGGTTCAGGCAGTCGGTCGTGATGCCCGGTAAGAATAGTGGCGGTAGCTTGGTTACAAACCACTTGCTCACATTCGCATCGGTCATCGTGTCCAGGTTTTGAATCAGCACCGGACAGGCTAAGCCCATCAGGAACTGTTGATAATACTGAGGCACCAACTTTCCCGCTGCCTGTGATACAAATAATCATCAATTACATGAGAGATACAGACATCCGAGTTGGGCTATTTCATCATGAGATAGTCGAGTGTAGTTGTAATAAACCATCGTATTCCATGTACGCCATATTGATTTCTAATCCTCCTCTTTAATTGTTCCCATCCCTGAATAATTCAAGTTTAATTTGCTTAAAGAGACCAGGACAGTTAACCTACTCCCAAAGTCCCTCTGTTTCTGTACAGGAGGCTTGTCCTCTGCACCTCATTAATGCATGTTAACTCACAGCCATAGCTGCTCCAAGCTTCTAAATCAATATCACGCAATGGGTTCTGCAAACCCTACGTCTGACTCCATTACATTCTACTCTGTAGCCTCTGATTGTTCGTTACAAAGTTACTGATTGCAGGATGTTACAAAGACAAGGTATATTGTCTTTAATGCCACCAAGGGAAATATCACTACCCCCACCTCAATAGATATCCTAAAGTCGCCTACCCCATTTTGGATATCTGGATAAGATAGTCAGAGCATAGTAATAGGTTTTTTACCCTTTTATCTGGCACCAAAACTGACACCTTTATACAAGGGATCATGTTTGCAATAACCACAACACAAGCGGTCAAAATGCAAACAAAAAGAGACAACCCTGATAATGATATTGGCACTGTCCTTGAATTTGATTGGTCCACACCCGAGACGGCTTTTCTTAGAGCCTAGTCTCCACTGGTGTTGGACCAGATGACGCCAAAAGGCGTACAACTCAAAAAACAGCGCACTATCAGAGTATTGAGGGCTCGGGTTAAGCATTTACATTATGAGACCTCCTTTGCCAGTAGCAAAGGAGGTCTTGTATAAAGGTGTCAGTTTTGGTGCCAGATTAAAAGGGTAAAAACCTATTACTATATCTTGCTACTGGCAAAGGAGGTCTCATAATGTAATAGTCAGAGCATGTTCTGCTTTAGCTTTTGCTGTAGAGACAGATCCAGTTTGATGGAGGCCTGGGTCTGTTATAGGTTTTTTTGTTGTTGTGGGAGACCCTCTGTATTTATTCAAATCCTTCGCTTGACTGTTTTACCATCACCATTGACCGATGGAAACACTTCCTTGTTCCTTGCCATGGACACTCAGTTCTAGTGTTTTTTTTAATGTAATGTACGAATTGCAAATCTATATCAATGTACAGATATAATTTCGGCCGAAACTTTGTTAGAAATGCATGTCTTGGGGGCCGTCCATAAGTGACGTCACGCGATTTTGGACGATTTTTTACCCCCCCCCCCCCTCGTCACACGGCGTCACAAAAAGTCAGACCCCCCTCAAATATGACGTCACAAAGCTCTGCCCCCCCCCCCAAAAAAAAATGCATAAAATATTTTATGTGGCGCTGTACTCTGATGTTGTAGGAGAAAGCATTTATTAAAAAGTCTATTTAATTAAGTAGAACGTGTTGTCTATATTTAAGGTTGCGTATTTTGATGTGACGTCACATTTCTCAAACCCACCCCCCTCGTCACACATCGTCACAAATGTCTGCCCCCCCCCCCCTAGGTGCATGACGTCATTTATGGACAGCCCCTTGATGCTATGACTTTGAATCCCAAATTAGGATGTATCATGGTGTTGCAATGTTAAAGCATTACACATATATAACATATAATTGGGGGGGGGGGGAGGGGGGGTTCCTTCAATTCCAAGGCCGAGGCCCCAAAGCCCGGCATTATGCCTGCCCTGGCTGTAGGAAGCCTGTCATCTTGAATGTGCATTGATTATGCTGTTGATTGTTGAGAAGGACCGTGTTGTTTAAGTTGTATTCTTGGCTCTTTCGGTAAAGTCATGTAGATAGGTTAAAAGAAAATAACAACAAAAAACTACGACGTTTCGATCGCAACACAATCGTCATTAGGAGCTCTCCGATCTTACATTGACATGCAAATTTCTCACTTTAACATCATCAGCCCCGCCCACTTCGCTTATGACCCTTGGGCTACACCCATTTCAAACCTTTAATACATCCTGCCTCAGCAGCTTCCCCGCTATTTTTTCTCCTGATGACGATTGCTTGTGTTGCGATCGAAAGACCCAAGAATATGAATTCCTGCAGTCACGAAAGCTTTAAGCCTAAATTGTTTAAGTTGCTTACAGATTTGCATTATAGGAATTTGAACTGGCTTCCCTCCAACAGGGTGGCGAGATGTTAACTACTTTGCCTGGTATACAGGAGGTCTTGGGTTCAATCTTGACCCTTACACCTGTATATATAAAGTTTGCATGTTCACCTCGTGGTCGCGTGGATTATTTTCCGGGTAATCCACATTTAGAAACATGGGTTTAGAGTATTTCACTGCAATACATTTCCAAATGATAAGCCACTAAGTTTAGCTATCATTTGTGGCCAGGTCGCTTCTGATAAAGAGCAATATAGCTCAGTGAGCCTTACCTGGTAAAATAAAAAAAAATGTTTAGTTTCACTCTGAAAAAAATGTAGAGATACCCTGCTCACCTTAATGTTGAATTCATCCACAAATATCTCGAGGTCAGTGATGTTGTCAAAAGGGTTGATTTTCAGTTTGGTATTTAATTGTATAACTTTGTCCGTGGCAGCAAAGTCAGCCTTTTGTACAGTCGTAAGAAGATCCTCTACACCAAACTGAAAAGAGAAACACGAACCATGGACAATATCAGAGACACTTCAGAATATTGTTGTAAAAATAAGTTCGCTCTCTGATGTATTTCGCACTTGATACAAGTTGTGTTCAACATGATGTCCTTTTTTCGCTACATGTTCTGCGAGCTTCATCAATGCGTTAAGAGGCTTCACAAATGCTTCTTAAACATTCCGTTCCTGAGGAAACTCTCAGTATGTGGGACGAAACGTCGAACGTCATGCCGGACTACACTCGGTACAATGCCAGCACTGAGAAATATAAATAGCATAACAGCACAACTGTGAAATCCCACTCAATAAAAAAATATAATGCTATTATAGGAAAAACGGTATGCTATACCTCACCAAAGGATCGTAACCGTATCGTGATGATGGGGTTTGTGTGTTCCAATGACCCTCAGAGCTATGTGGCCTGGGTCTTATACTCCGAGTAGGATCTCCCATGGCGACCAGGTCTGGGGGGAGGTTTCCAGACAAATAACGGTCCAAAATAAAGCCCCTCATGAATGGTTACATAGTACCAAAATCAGAGAACCTCGCCCGGACAAGGGATACTGGGACACACCACTGGAGCCAGGCTTGGGGGTGGTGTTCGAAGGCAAGTGCCTGGTGGCCGGGTCACCCAGGTAACCCGGCCGGGCAGAGCCTGAAATGGCAATGTGACACCGTCCTGTGGGCCCCCCCATCCGTAGGATGAAGGGTGAGGGGCGGTTGCTAGTATGGCACGGAGAGGGATGCTCTCAGATGGACTGAACCTTGGCGATGGACACTAGCTATTCGGACGTGGAATGTCACGTCAATGGGGGGGAAGGAGCCAGAGCTGGTGGAGGAGGTGGAAAGGTACCAACTACATATAGTTGGTCTCACCTCCGCACAGCATTGGCACTGGAACCAAACTTCTCGATCGGGGGTGGTTTCTCTCTTTTTCCGGAGTAAGCCCTCGTGAGGGACACCGGCTGGGTGTGGAGATACTCACAAGCCCCTGGCTGGGTGCTGTTCAGCTGTAGTTTGTCCCAGTGGAGGAGAGGGTCACCTCAATGAGACTTGCCTCTTAAAGGAAAACTCTCACTGTTGGCTGTACTTATGCACCAAACAGCAATTCCGAGTATTCGGCCTTCTTGGAGATGGTGGATGCAGTGTTCAACAGAGTGCAGCCGACCAACTCCATAGTCTTACTGGGCGACATCTATGCTCATGTGGCAACCGATGGAGATTCCTGGAGAGGCTTGATTGAGAGAAATGGCCCCCCTGATCTGAACCCAAATGGTGAAATCTGATTGGAATTCTGTGCTAGTCACGGCATGTCAATAACTAACACCAAGTTCAAACACAAGAATGCTTTTATAAGTGTACTTGATACCAGAGCACCTTGGCCCGAAGGTCAATAATTGACTTTATAGTTGTATCATCGGACCTAAGGCCATATGTTCTGGAAACTCGGGTGATGAGAGGGGCAGACCTGTCAACTGATCATTACCTGGTGGTATGTTGGATCCGACATGTGGGGACACAATCAGATAGACTTGGAAGGCCCAAACGAATAGTGCGGGTTTTCTGGGAACGGCTGGTGGAAAACCCAGTGCAGAAAGATTTCACCTTCCACCTCTGGGAAAATTATCCTGCACTCCAAGGGAGGTCGTGGACATTGAATCCAAGTGGATGATGTTCAGGACATCAATTGTGGATGCAGCTGCGAAAAGCTGTGGCCTGAAGACAGTTGGTGCCTGTCATGGCGGCAACCCTAGGACTCACTGATGGATACCAACGGTGAGGGAAGCTGTCAAGTTGAAGAAGGAGGCTTTCCGAGCTATGCTCGGAAAAAGTTATCTCGACTCGATTGAGAGGTACCGACTTGCCAAGAGGGCGGCAGCTGCAGCAGTAGCTGAAGCGAAAGCCAAGGCGTGGGAAGAGTTTGGAGAGGTCATGGAGAGGGATTACTGGGCAGCCTCAAATATGTTCTGGCAAACCATCAGACGCCTTAGGAGGAGTTGACGGGACATGGCCCAGGCAGTTTTCAGTAAGGGTGGTGTAACATTGACCTCAACTAGGGAGATAGTCGAGAGGTGGAAGGAACATTATAGAGGAGCTCCTCAACCCGGTGGACATGCCGTCCTTTCAGGAGGCAGCCCTGGATCGATCACAACTGATTAATTCACTGGAGCGGTCGAGGGCCTTCGTAGGGGCAATGCTGCTGGGGTGGACGAGAGTCGCCCAGAGTTGTTGAAAGCGCTGGACAGTGTAGGAGTGTCGTGGTTAACACGCCTCTTCAATGTTGCATGGTAGGCGCGTACAGTACCTCTGGACTGGCAAACTGGTGTCATGGTTCCCATGTGTTTTTTTAAAAGGGACCAGAGGGCGTGTTCCAACTATAGAGGAATCACACTCCTCAGCGTCCCAGGTTAAGCCTATGCCAGAGCGGTGGAGAGGAGGCTCCACCTGGGGGTTGAGCCTGAGATTCAGGAGGAACAATGCGGATTCCGTCATGGTCGTGGAACAATGGACCACCTCTTTTCCCTCTCACAGATATTTGAGCGGTCATGGGAGTATGCCTCTCTGGTCTACCTCTGTTTTGTAGACTTGGAGAAAGCATATGACCCCACAATGTCTTGTGGGGGTTGCTGCAGGAGTATGATGTACCGGTGCCACTTTTGTGCGCTATCCGGTCCCTCTACTCCCCGAGTAAGAGCTATGTTGGACTCCGCCAAGGGTGCGTCTTGTCTCCACTCCTGTTTGTGATTTTAATGGACAGGATATCAAGGTGCAGCCGAGCTATGGAGAGTATTCAGCACGGGGGCATGGAGGTGACGTCGCTGCTTTTTGCAGATGATGTTGTCTTCTTTGCCTCGTCAGTCTGTGATCTCCAGCATGCACTTGAACGGTTTGATGCCAAGTGTGAAGCGGCTGGGATGAAGATCAGCACCTCCGAATCTGAGGTGATGGTTTACTCCCGGGAGATGGTGGATTGTTCTCTTCAGGTGAGGGGGGAACAGCTGCCCTGATGGTAAGTGGGAGTGGGAGATCGGCCGGCAGATCGGTGCGGCATCCGCAGTCTTGCGGGCACTGTACCATTCCGTGGTAGTGAAGTGGGAGCTGAGTTCTCAAACAAAACTCTCGGTTTACAGGTCGATCTACATTCCCACCCTCACCTATGGTTATGAGCTTTCAGTAATGACCGAAAGGATGATATCACGGGTACAAGGGGCCGAAATGAGGTTTCTCCACAGGGTTCCCGGGCTCACTCTCTGTGATCGGGTGAGGAGCTTAGTAATCCAAGAGAGCCTCAGAGTCGTGCCGCTGCTCCTCCGGGCCGAGAGGAGCCAGTTGAGTTGGTTCAGGCACAAGGTAAGGATGCCCTCTGATAGACTCCCCCTGGAACTCTATTGGGCAGCCCGTCCCACTGGGCGACGACCCCGGAGCCTGTCCAGGACACGCTGGTGGGACTATGTCGCTCAGCTGGCCTGGGAACACCTGCCAATTCCCCAGGAAGAGCTGGAGTCCGTCACCAGGGAAAGGGAGGTATGGACCTCCCTACTCAACATGCTGCCGCCGCGACCAGAACAAGCGGATTGAGAAACGAACAAACGAACAGTATGCTATATTCTCGGTTGTGTTTGGCTTAGAGACTCATTACATGGAACAAAAATATATTGTGTGAATGTGTTTATTGATAGAATATGGGACAAATTACTTACACCATTAAACTGTAGAAACACCTCAGCGAACTCTGCATATGTGGCACTTTTTCTGTAATTCCCAAAGTAGGACAAAAGCAAAGTTCTGCTGTTCAAGGCAGAATTGCAACAAGAATCTGAAACAGAAGTAAAAAAAAACAAGCCCACATTGTTATAATTGCATCGGCATCGGAGATATAATTCTACATGATTATATGCACTATTCACTGCAGGGGAGGGAAACATTCCTTACTGGGAGCCGAATATGACTCTCAAATACCTTTGGCGGACCACACTTTATCATACAGCACGGGTGGGTACATACGGGATCATCCGGGTCAAATATTTAAATAAAATGAAATACAATTATAAATATCACGCCTTCCGTCCAGCACATTTACATGGACTCATTGCAAGAAGACCTTGCAGTGACAGGAATGACTGAGCGTGATACAATTTTAAACCGAGTATTGCCCGGTCGTATACAATATATATTGCCCTCTAATTTAGCTCAGCTCTGTAGCATCGAGGGTGGACTGATGGAGGCAGAGCCACTCCAGGTGAGGGCCTTCTGATGCTGTGTGGAATCATTGGGGTTAGTTGGTCATACGTCATCACTTTTTTTTTTAAACACGTTGGCCCAATATTTACATAGGGAGTGAGGGCTAGAGCAGAATGTATGGGAGACAAAATCAGATCACATAGCTATGCATTATGTGTAGCGTTCAATGCTTCATCTTCTTTGGTTATTTCGGTAAAGTCACGTAGAATGAGAATAAAATAATAAATTGATAAAATAAAATAACACAATAATATTCTCTTTATCAATTTATTATTTTATTCTCATTCTACGTGACTTTACCGAAAGAACCAAAGAAGATTAATCATTGCAGTCACGAAAGCTTTAAATCGTTCAATGCTTGTTTAAAGTTTGTTTAACACTACATTATGTCCCCCCTTGATGCTTTTGTCGTATCTCTCTCTCTCTTAAATAATATTGCACTATGTGGTTGCTATGACTACGGTGCCTGCAGTGATGGATAAATAGTATTCAAAATGTGGTAGGCCTCGCATGGCTTTGTATGGCTCTTCGCATGAATAACGCTGTGAGCCACTTCTTACACGGGGAGAAGTGGGGGATGGTTCCGGTCCTGCTGTATCGGAATACATTCCAAAAAATATATACGAGCGACTCATTTTACCTTGCTTCACGAAGACTTTGACCTTCTCAACCACAGCTCGTCTCACAGAGTCGGACACATTGTCGTAGACTGAGCTCAAAGTCCCAGATCTAGACATACACAACAATTCCAGTGAATTCGTAACGGGAAAAAAATGAATTTAGATTAAATGCACATCCGGCAACATGAATGTATGGAATAAAACACCTACTTCAATTCACCCTCAGAAGAATATTAACTTGTAAATGATTATGCGTGGATTAGCGAGGCAATCATGTACATGTACAGCCCTTTTGTCAATCCACTGCTAGATGAGGGCCTCAACATGCCATGTGGGTCACAGGGGTTATGTGACCAGATTTCACCACACTAGTCAATGGTGACAGCCGAGAGCATATAAATATAGTACAATAATTTATTTTGCTACACTGCCCTCTTCTGCCCACCACGTGATTTAACAATGTGACTAATATAAAATGGATAATTTGAGTTTAACATGCAGGCTTTCGCGACCAATATCATCCATAATACAAGTTTTTTTTAGCTTAGTTCGCGTAAATATGAATGTCATTAAACCCGCCACCACCCGACACAGCCGATGAGTAAGGTGTGTCACGTAAACAGAACATGCCAATTCCTTACTAGTACAGCACGTTTCGCCAGTAATTACAACTAGCACCATCAGGCGATAGCCAGATTCTCGGAGAAATCCTCCTGTTTCGTTCCTTAAATAGAGGGATAGATGTGATGGTATCATGTGACGCCTTCACATCGAGCGGAGAAATACACGCACATGCATTGGCTTGAGCGATGTATTACGAGACGTTTCATGTACAGCGACAAGTTGCCTAATAAGGAGGACGATCCTGGGAAAACCAGGACAGGTGACAACCCCAGTGGTACGAGGGGGGACGTGGGGATTGGACGTGGAATTAAAAGTGTCGAGACTAACAGTATCTCGCAAAACACTCGAAGTTTCTCACGAACACATCCACATCGACGTGTTCATTCGAAACAGACGACGTTCAAAGCTTCCGATCTTTGAACGATTTACAGCAGAGGAGCAATGCGTCTTTTTTTTTAAAAAAAGCAATGTTTATTATCCAAGAAAATAACCGATAAAGAAATAACAACTCTAACAATTAAAAAGAGGCCCGTTGTTGCTGTTGTTGTTCTAGGGTTAACACATTCACCGAGGATGCCGTGGCGAATGGTAGCAGTGGTGTGGGCGCGGGGCATATTTGTGAACGCGCACATGACTGTGAAGTTTGCGCAGGACACGTTGATGGGGATGTCCGCAATCTGCGCAACGGTCACGGCTGGCAGGAGACGCTTGAGTCGCAATGTGAACCAGTCCGTCACGTTGGCCTCGGGCATCGTCGCGAGAGACACGTTCAGAACGGGCCACACCACGGCCATCATGGCTGCCGTCACGTTCGCATCCAACGGCTGCGTGTAAATGTACACACACAGGAATAACACACAGAGAGAGAGAGAGAATAACACATACACACGCCGAATAAAACATACACACAAACACAGAAACACATACACAGAGAATAAAACATACACGGAGAATAAAGCATACACACTGACTAAAAAAATGCACACACAGAATCAAACGTACACACACGCAGAATAAAACATACACACAGAATTAAACATACACACACAGAATAAATCATACACACACAGAATGAAACATACACACACAGAATCAAACACACACAGAATCAAACATAGACAGAATAAAAAACACGCACACAGAACAAAACATACACACAGAATAAAACATACACACAGAATAAAAAATACACACACAGAATGAAACATACACACACAGAATAAAACATACACAATGAAACATACACACACAGAGAATGAAACATGCACACACAGAATAAAACATACATATACAGAATAAAACATACATACACAGAATAAAAATACACACACGTAAATAATCATACACACACAAAGAATGAAACATACACACAGAATAAAACATACACACAGAATAAAACATACACAATGAAACATACACACACAGAGAATGAAACACGCACACACAGAATAAAACATACACACAGAATAAAACATACACACACAAAGAATGAAACATACACACGCACAGAATAAAACATACACACAGAATAAAAAAAACATACACACAGAAGTCTAGATTTGAAGCTTTCGTGACTGCAAGGATCCATACTCTTTGGTTCTATTCGGTAAAGTCACGTAGGTAAAAATAAAATAACAAACCCACGGGTTTTTATCAGAGATTTGTCCACGAGGCAATTCAGATTTACAAACACAGACACAATTTCAACCGAGAGGATGGTTTCAAATTAAGCAATCATTGGAAAGATGTTCTAAATCAAACCAAACATTAAACTAATTTTCAATGGTACAGTATATTTATTCAAGTAGTGGTATTCCAAACTTTCACAGCAGCTTATTTCCCTTCACACCAACATTATGTAAACTCCCCCCCCCCCACACACACAGTGCCGGTCCAGTACATCATGTTATGCTAATTCCTTTGTCAAGGCGTTTTTTGTTTACTCCCACACAGCTTAAAGGACGCGACCTGGGCTTGCTGTCTTCACTCCAACGCTGTCCTCTGGACAGTCCAGTCCCTTCACCTGATGAAGGCCACTTGTGTTGTGACCGAAACGTCGTGATTTTTTGTTATTTTATTTTTACCTACGTGACTTTACCGAATAGAACCAACGAGTATACACACAGAATAAAATCATACACACAGAATAAAACATACACACACAGAATAAAAAAATACACACAGAGAATGAAACATGCACACACACAGAATAAAACATGCATACACAGAATAAAAATACACACACGTAAATAAACATACACACACAAAGAATGAAACATACACACGCACAGAATTAAACACACACACACAGAATAAAAAGCATACACACACAGAATAAAGCATACAAACACAGAATAAAAAATACACACAGAGAATGAAACATGCACACACACAGAATAAAACATACATACACAGAATAAAAATACACACACGTAAATAAACATACACACAGAGAATGAAACATACACACGAACAGAATAAAACATACACACACAGAATGAAATATAAACACACAGAATAAAGCATACAAACACAGAATAAAAAATACACACAGAGAATGAAACATGCACACACACAGAATAAAACATACATACACAATAAAAATACACACACGTAAATAAACATACACACACAGAGAATAAAACATACACACAGAGAATGAAACATACACATACGTAATAAGACATACACACAGAATAAAACATACACACATAGATTAAAACATACACACAGAATAAAACAAATACACACACAATAAAAAAAACACACAGAATGAAACATACACACGTAATAAAACAAGATAGACTTCATCCTGGTCTCTTGGGTTCGCACGTGGGCTAGATGAAATATAATAGAAACAAGTTGGCCAACGTGGCCAACGGTCAAAATCGGTGACGATTTTCTGAACAGGACCCTACCCTGGGTTTACAGCCTCACATGAGCACCTGGTGTGATATCACACATCGTCACTCGGGAGACAAAGGCGGTCGGGCGTGGTGCTAGTAGCCCCTCGTGTGTCATACCGACCTGCATAGGTGCTCACTAAGAGCACCTTACCCCAAAAGTCTGTTCAAGGCTATGGGGGGGGGGGGGGGATCGTTGTCTTTATTTGTCTCTTACTTTCCAGAATGTCTTGTAATCTGGAGAATAAGTTGATCCCAGAGTTTGCAGGAATTCACTCATTGGCATGTGCAATAGTTATGAAGCAGATATTATGTATTTGGGTGCAACTCACTGGATATTTTCGGGAAAAATTCATGAATATGGACTGCATGAGGGTGTAATGATACGTAGATTAATACAGGATAACGTAGCATATCCAACTGTGGGAGACTGACGTTTAGGTGCATATGTGACATCAACAGAAAATATGCAGTTGCACCAACGAACCGCATGCAATGCTTTTTTATATATTTCATGTTGCTCCTCCAGCCACTAGAGGAAGATATACTCACCACAACACTTAAAAATATATATATATAGTCTTGAGCCACAACTAGAAATTGTAGCAAGTCATGGAATCTTAACAGGGGTGGTGGCGCGGACTGTAATGTTCCTCGTGCTGTGGAAAGGGAATCCGTACCTCTTTGATCGCAGCCAGCAGATCCCCAAGTTTTTGAAGATCAGTCACTTTGAGCGTCACTGCCTGTGCGACCGATGCATTGTTTCGGAATTGGCTATCAAACAGTAAGGCCAGCTGGACAGCACTAATCTTGTTCAGCGCGTCTGCCTGTGAAAAGAACATTATAACAAGGGTGAATTCTAGATTTAAAGCTTTCGTGACTGCTAGGATCCATACTCTTTGGTTCTATTGTATAACAAGGGTGGTTTTACTTCAAGATCCTCCATGGCCTCACCACTCTCACCTGTCTCTCCACTACCATCTCACACTTCTCACCACAAATTGCATTCCCCCTATCTCTCCCCTCTCATCGCACCTCACTCTCCTCGCCTTCACGCACTCTCCTACCTCTCCCCTCCCATCTCACTCTCCTCCCAACAAACACGGTCTCCTACCTTGTCCCTCTCATCTCACTCTCCTCCACGGACTCCCCTACACCTCCCCCACTCATCTCACTCCACTCCCCTCCACGCTCTCTTACTTCTCCCACTCATCTCACTCCACTCCCCTCCACGCTCTCTCTTACCTCTCCCACTCATCTCACTCCACTCCCCTCCACGGCCTCCCCTACCTCTCCCACTCATTTCACTCCACTCCCCTCCACGGCCTCTCCTACCTCTCCCACTCATCTCACTCCACTCCCCTCCACGCTCTCTCTTACCTCTCCCACTCATCTCACTCCATTCCCCTCCACGGCCTCCCCTACCTCTCCCACTCATCTCACTCCACTCCCCTCCACGGCCTCTCCTACCTCTCGCCCAGCGGCACACATGGCAACAGATAATTTTTTTGTGTTATCCAATTAGTTGCGTAGTCAAACCGCTAATTGATAGAGTGATTAATTAATCACTTCATCAAATAGCCGCACGCAAGCATAACGAAATCACTTTTGTCGATATTCGAAAAATAGCATTTGTGCAAATGAGGTATTTTCTTTAGAGAGTGTAACATGTGTTCACGGTTGTTTGGCAGAGTACAAACAGGAAGTGATTTTCCACTGACTATTCGCCTTGAAGAGCTGGAACCAAAACCACACCAGCCTCACAGCTTCTAAATAGGAGGGGGACATGTGTGGGCGTCTAATGACAGCCTATTGCATGCGATGTCAAACAAAGACTGGACAACTCACATGGCTGAAAGATGAGGATGTAGGTATACATTTGAAGTGTTTCTTATTTTTTGAAAAGTTTATTTTTTAAACGTCCTCTTTTTTGGGCTCCTCCCTAATCTTATATCCTGGCAGAACAATCGTTTTTTTTTTCACCACAATAATAACAAGATTGAGCAAATAATGTGTAAACACATTGTTCCCATTCAGGTGTCTATGAATTTTAAAATGCCAGTCAGTATGATCAATGATAAAACATTGTTCGCCTCACATTTCCTGGAGCAGAGTGGTGGTACAGTGGTGAGTGCACAGCACAATGAACCTGGCTACCTGAGTTTGATTCCTGATACCTGAACGGGTTCTGGTTCCTCATTACACCAATCCACACTGACTAGCATGGTGAAGTATGGTGACCCCCCCTCCCTCTATGACCAAATTGGTTGTAATTTAAATTACAGTTCTTCATAAATACATTGCGCGGTGAAAGCCTCCTCATGCCTTTCAGTGACGGGGGTTATATTTTTTTCCGGATTTCAACTTGCAAGCTAATGCACTTCTTATTTAACTATTATCCCTTCAAAACGATATCCAGGCATGCCTGGCTTCACAACAAAACTGCCTGTCCTTATTTTTTTTTGTCGAGCCTATTGGCTGAAGGAAAAAAAAACACAAAAAAAATAATTGTATAGTTTCCCCTGCGATTGACCTATACGTTGTGCCAGATATATAGTAACACAATTATACTGCTTTCTTTATATAAAAAAGCCTCAATGTATCCCATAACGCCATCTCAAGAAGGGTCCTCCATTGGAGCTGAGACATATAATAAATCTTCTCATAAGCCAAACGTTGCATCGAACACTTTACCAACAGCATGTATCCATACATGTGTAGTGACAGATAATTGGTCACTTAGCAGCATAGCGCTGGCTACTGGCAGGGAAGGGGATCTGGAGCTTACAGCAGCCCTGACTGACAGCAGGCCACGTGATAGACCAGAGAGGGAACTAGGGGAAAGGTTACGGAAGGGGCACATCGAGAACCCGCGGGTAGGTTCCAGAAGGGGGGCGTGGCCGGGGGCGGAGCCAGCAGGCCACGCTGGCAGTAAAAGAGGGGCCCCGGGAGGGGACCTCGGGGCTGTCGTGTGTAGTGGGATCCCCGTCGCGCGGCTGCTGCCGGAGTCTTCACCGTCTCGGCGTCGCCAGTCAGGCGGTCTATCGACTGTCCTGACTGGGAGCCGTAGTTACCAAGTGTTTACTGTCAGGCCGTGTTAATAAACAGAGTGCCTCCTTCTCTGAGTGTCTCTGAGACTGTCACTACACATGTCTGGTAAATAGAGCTAAAGGCGAGTGATTGGTGTGCATTTAAACGATGTTTTATGAGAGCGATCAAATTGAAAATTGGCAAATAAATATAGAGTTGAGTCTATGCTCGTAGCAAACCAATAAAAAAAGTACCCGCCATATTCAACTCCACTTTGCTTCTGATGCCTGACGAGATCAGGCACCTTCGGAGAATTGCAAGAATAAATAAAATATAGCTTTCTTACATTCAGGCAGGCAAACTGCCCTTTGGTGTATGCCGTCAAAGCATTTGCCGTGATGAGGCCTCCAGTGATGGCAGTTTCCAGAGTGACCCTTGAGGAAAAAGTCATACGTGTCAGCACAATACTTGAGCAGTGTCTTCCATTTGCATAGACCAACCTACAGTAAACACACAGACATTTTTTTAGGGGGTTTTTACCCCCCAAATGTATTCATATTCTGCCACTGATCTTACCCATTCAGACAATGAATCAATTTAGGATATTTCGATTTAAAGCTTTCGTGACTGTAGGGATTCATCTTCTTGGTTCTTTCAGTAAAGTCACGTAGAATGGAAATAAAATAATAAAAATAAAACATACGAGACTTTACCGAAAGAACCAAGAAGATGAATTTAGGATCTCTCGCACATCAGTGAAACCCCTAACGTGAGAGAATGGTGGACAGAAGGAGCTATCACAGAGCTACCTCAGAGATCCCTTCAAGCGACATATGATCTACACAGAGGGAAGGAAGCACTGTCCCACAGTCTGTACATATGAGAGCAATAATGTTCATGTCCCTGACAGATACATGTTTTGATTTAAAGCTTTCGTGACTGCAGGGATTCATACTATTGGTTATTTCGGTAAAGTCACGTAGAAGGGAAACAATACAATAATAAAAATATAAAACAATAAAATTCTCACGACTTTTCGACTGCAACACAAGCAATCATCATCAGGTGTGAAAACCACAACAAGAAAATGTGAAAAAAGTGGCGGTTATTTTTAACGTTAGCACCACAGAGAGAGATTTAACAGTTTGTTCAGATGGACGAGTCTATCTATGTTCGGAAAAGAGGAGGGGGGAGACGAAAAATAATGGATGCGGTCTGAAAGCCACCTTAAGCGTGATCAATCAATTAAGACCCGAAATGGTTTATCAAATCCTTCCAATGATTGCTAAGCCAGAATCCATCTTCTCGGTTGAAATTGTCTCTGTGTTTGTATATGTGGATAGCCTCATGAACGAATCTCTCATGGTAGCCAGATGGCTTGCAAAGAACCTCTGTCTTGAAGAAGTCAATGTCATGTGAACCTACTGAATTATAACAGTGATCTGCCACGGCCGAGGTGTTGGTCCTACCGTGTTTCAGGTCTGCTTTGTGTTCACGATAGGACCAACACCTCGGCCGTGGCAGATCACCGTTATAATTCAGTAGGTTCACATGACATTGACTTCTCCAAGACAGAGGTTCTTTGCAAGCCATCTGGCTACCATGAGAGATTCGTTCATGAGGCTATCCACATATACAAACAGAGACAATTTCAACCGAGAAGATGGATTCTGGCTTAGCAATCATTGGAAGGATTTGATAAACCATTTCGGGTCTTAATTGATTGATCACGCTTAAGGTGGCTTTCAGACCGCAACCATTATTTTTCGTCTCCCCCCTCCTCTTTTCCAAACATAGATGGACTCGTCCATCTGAACAAACTGTCAAATCTCTCTCCGTGGTGCTAACGTTAAAAATAACCGCCACTTTGTTCACATTTTCTTGTTGTGGTGTTCACACCTGATGATTATTGCTTGTGTTGCAGTCGAAACGTCGTGAGAATTTTTTTGTTTTAGATTTTTATTATTTTATTGTTTCCCTTCTACGTGACTTTACTGAAAGAACCAAGAAGATACGAGTTTATTTACTTGTAATCATCTTCTTTGGTTCTTTCGGTAAAGTCACGTAGAATGAGAATAAAATAATAAATTGATAAAATAAAATAACACAATAATATTCTCACGACGTTTCGGCCACAACACAAGCGGCCTGAGAATATTATTGTGTTATTTTATTTTATCAATTTATTATTTTATTCTCATTCTACGTGACTTTACCGAAAGAACCAAAGAAGATGAATCATTGCAGTCACGAAAGCTTTAAATCGAAATTTACTTGTAATCATCTTCAGGGTTGGAATGTATCCACATTAAGTCATTGTTGACTGGGCTGAGACCATCAGATGAGAATACGGTTTTAACTACAAGTGGCTGTTTGGATTCGAACCCAGGTTTTCAAAGGTGCCAGCTCAGCACTCTAGCCACTGAGCTACCCTGCCACCTATGTACGTTTTTTTTTCATTCCTGTGATTTCGTTTTTTAATGTACACTATTTTAATCATACAAACATAATAACTACATTCTTCAAACTGATGGTGAAATAATGAAATAAATGTGCTTCTGACCTGTAATGTCACGTAATACATTTCAATATATTCAAGTCGCAGCAGCTCATTTTTCCTTCCAAGCGTATGTTAACCGCAAATTTGATTTCAAAACAAACAAAAAAACTCAATTCCAGTTTCACCCATTTTGGAGCTCATCAACAGTCGGAAGCAGTAAATGAGTACTGCTGGTTTTACTTGATGTTATTGGTGAGAGCACTCCCTTTACACCAAGGGTAGTCACACGTATCATGGCTCTTGAGAGGCTCCCTCTGAAGAGTGTTTGGCGGACTCTATCACGCTGGCCAGACTTCTTGGAAGAGGCGTCAGAAACCACACTACACCCAACCACACCCGAACAGCCTGCCATTCGACTCATCTTCACGCATGTGCCCATTTAAAAGAAGCTCGTTGCTTCAAACTGGTCCAGTGTGCTAACGATTTACACCGAGGCAGCATCCCCAAAACAATGTGAACCACACGAAGTAGCTTTTGATGACGCTTCGCCACGGCGTGTCAAACCGTCGTGGCACGCCGCTCCGGCGCCTATTTCACGCGCTCGATATGGCAGTGTGCACGCGTGTCCTGGCACGAGGCACTTTAGGGTTTACTCACGGGTTGTTTTCAGGGAGTTTGCAGTCGACTTGTTCTTGTGAGCGTGGCAAAACAAATTCAACGAAGCAAGTAACATCCCAGTGTTAATACGCGGTCTCCAAAATGCCATGCAATGACACAGTGTGTGTTTTTTTGTTTGTTTAATGTCCATCGTAAAAAAAACATGCGACTGCAACATGTGTTCTCTTACCAATGGGAGGAGTCTGTGAACAATAAAAAAAGAATATCAGGTATGTTTGTGCGATTATAAAACACTACACTCCATGGAATACAAAGCAAGTCACTGCACGCGTTCTAGTTCAGGAGTAGTAAACCTGCAGCACCAGAGCCGCGTGCAGCGCTTTAAGGACTGTTGCTTCGTCACGTTATTAATTCAGGACCACCGTCTCGTATTCACGTGGAATTGCGGCTTGTAAAATATTGAGGGTTTTTTTTTTTTACCGGGATTCGAAACAATGGTACTCAGCCCAGAGGACGCCTAAAGGTGTAACACCGTTTGAGACGAGGCTCGAAAGAAAGCTGTCTCTGGTGTGGACCAATCAGTTTCAAAGACAATGCCACATATATTATCAGAGTGTGTTTTTGTTTGCATTCTGACCACAAGTATTGTGGTTAATGGAGACATGATTCCTTGTAAGAGGTTTCAGTTTGGTGTTTTAACATCTTAACACCTGTTTTGTTGCCAGAAAAAAAGGGGGAAACCTATCTCACAAGAGGATGCGGTTTCCATTCTAAAACACATATTAAAACATTTGCGATCTGCAGCTTGCGATCCTCTCAACCAGTTTTTTTTTTACTTGGGGTGCAGCACCCCCTGGGAGTGCGAGATGCCCTTTCTGAGAACCAAAGAGGTTGCAAGCTGCAGTAAAGGTTAATAACCACTTCTCTAAACCAATGATGCCACAGGGCACTCGATGAAACGTCTTATATACTGAGCCACACGATTCCGCACCGACTTGCTGAGACATGACCATACTCGAGTATCACAGAAAAACACAGAAATGTGCAGAGCCAGACATAGTCAACACAATGGTTGTGAGTGAGAGGGTCAAGACACACAATGGCCACATAGATACACACACGGTAATAAATAGAGGGATAGGTGCGAAAATTTGAGATATTTAACAGTACATTTCATTGTGAAGGGCGGTTAACTGTGAGGTTAACTAAAGGATATTACACAACACGTTAAAATAGTCCTGAAATTATATCTGAGAAATGCTGACCAATGTGTTATTGCGATGTGTTATTGCTGATCGTATTTGTATTATTGTACGTGCTGTAGTTTCGTGACTGCCATAACAGACATGATGAACCATAAAACATAGCACTAAACATTGCACAGCATACCTCAAATATACTCTAACACTATAACCACAATTGAATAAATGAATATGTAGGAAGCACTGCAGTTCGGTCCTTAGAGGCAATTCTACTGTTGTACTTAAACGTTTGTCTGTGCATCTCCCTCTGTTTTCGCATCTCAATTTCACCATATCTTGCAAGAAATGGGGCGGGCGGGGGGGGGAATGCTTAACATATACCTCCCGTAGTATTTTGCAACTATTTATATGACATACAACTGCTCATTAAGTAATACGTTTCATTTTTAACGCATCAAAACATGCGTTGACATTCCAACTCAAAACACAGATCGTTAAAAATAAATTTTGCAAAATTCTTAAAAGAGTGTGGATTACCTGCCCAGTGATGCCGGCGGGACCTGTTGAAGGAAGAAAACAAAGCACAACACGGTTCACAATTAGTACGCGCGAAAGCCATAAACAATTCCATTCAGGAATTGTACATTTCGTAACTATTATCATTATTGCCATTGTTGTTGTTTTTCCGAGTCAGCTTTACCTTGCAGCAGCAAGACGGCGACCAGAAGCCGAGCGATCATCCAAGCGCAGCTTCGCTCCATACCTGCGTGGCCCATGAAATAGAGAGAAGAGAGATATACAGCAAATCGTTCTGTGTTTTTTTTTGCTTAATTTATTTCTTATTTTTACAATACAGATTTAAAAAAGCATAACCAGGATAACAAAGGCTCGAGTGACTCTCGACGGGGAACCTTGTTGCGATTAAGATAAGCAAGAGACGCAGAGGCAATGGAATGAAACATTTTAAGGAGATGAAAAAAAGAAGAAGAGGGGAAAGGTGCAGAGAGTTTCGGAAGCCAGCGACGGGTGAACAGAAGGGGCCCAAATATTCCCGTAGACATTCAGCAGTCCCTGCGAGACAGCTTTAAGATGTTTGAGTATGAACGCCCTCGTGACAATGTGAGGGAAATGTCATAATTGCCAAATCTTTTGAGCACTGAAGCAAAAATAAATCGTGCACATGGGACATGTTTTTGTACTCTCTTGCTTCGATCACGGAATGTCTCAGGCCAGCAAGAGGGTCACGTTCACCACTGCATTTATGTTTGAAACATTTCTTTTTTGCAACCATATTCAGTGGGTTCTGCTTCATAACTTTGTTATTTGGCAGCAAAGTCGCGGAACAGTGCACTCATAAATATGATGAATGCACTAACATTTGATCAATTTAAGACTGAATTAAATATTATATTTAGATAACTACAGAGTGGATTAATGACTCAAATGAAGTTGACAAACTAGAGTAATCTCAAACCAGAATTTAGCAATGAAATTTTGTTTGTTGTGTACGTTGTCTATCATGTATCGTGTCTGAACAATTTGTCTGCAAGCGATTTCTAACTGAATACTTATCTGAATTAGTGCATGGAAGGCATGATATTGGTGATGACAGGTAAAAATGTTGGAACTCCAGTAGGTGCAGTACTTGAAATCGGGTGCCAGTGTTTAACAAATACCAGGTTTCCAATTAACTTGTTTAATTATTGTAACTACTGTAACAGTTTTAATGGTTCTCCTGTATAGCTCGCCGGTTTGTTTTCAGGTGGTACCGTTTGTTTTTGAGATGACATTACAACATCAGAGCTATTGAGTTTTGTTTCTGTTTATTCGATTAATGTTTTTTTGTAGAATTAAATGACTTTTTAAAAATGTATACGACCTCCCAAAAAAATCCAACTCGCAAACAGGATAACATGATCCACCATATTTGTGAGAAAAAAAAACACTTTCACCACATTACACAATGCGAGTGGTGGCCATGAAAGAGAAACAATTCCATTTTGTAAAACATTGATTGGTATGTTAGTATGTTGAGCGTTTTTCGCACCGTATGTAACCAACCGTGCTAATCGGAGGTGCGGGGGAAGGACAACAAACTAAACACATTGAGCCGAGACGTGTCTCCTGCTTCCGAATAAAAGGCAAGTAATATTTTGAGTAAATAGACGGCTGATTATACTTGAGCGACATTTCGTTTTTGAGCGTTCCTGCAGCAGGAGCAAAATATGTAGTTACGGATAGGGCAGTAACTGCAGGAGGAGGTGCAAACTCAGCATTTCAGGGAAAGCGAAAATAGGATCACGTTGGTTAGAGAGAAAGAGAAAGTTCAAATAACGTGATGTTGCATCTTAATGAAAGTAAGTCGAGCTTGCACAGAACACATTACCAGAAGAGATTACGGCCACTGGTTAAGACCGGCGACAGAGTGCAGCCATAGGAGGAAAGCACGTTTGAAAGTACGACCAACGGAGAGATGCAGCAATGGAGATAAGGTCGTGCGCGGGAGTGAGATGGACCGTGGCATCAACGAGACAGTGAGGGATGGTGATAACTTGAAGGGAGCTTTTTTCTAGCAGTGGCTAGAGCATGTATGATGATAAAAACAAGTTATCCCAGTTAGAAAAAAAAAAACATATCTATTACTTTCACATCTCGGTTTTCCCCATCTTGCTGGCATTGTTCATGTTCTGTCTTGTTCATCCACTTTCATCCCCTCAATTAGCCTAAACGTACGTTCCCATTAGTATAACAATTGCATTGAATTTCCATCACTCGTAAATCATCGATCCTTGCACGAAAAATTCGCTGCATGTTTCGAGAGCAGAAAAAGTTTATTTTAATTAGTTAATTGATGCATCATTACATATTTAATTAGTACCCGTGCTTTTTGTATATGAAATATTATTTTAAATACTCAAAAATACATTTTATAAAGTTAAATAGCATCGGCATTTTGTTGTAATGCATGTTTTAAAAGCATCTTGTTTATTTTGTATTTGAAAATATAATGTATTTTTTCCTTTTTGTTTTTGAAATCCATAGAACAAGTTTGAATTTTAAAAAAATCATGAAAAGACTTGGCAATATCTCATTGTATAGTTTTTTTTACTAGATCCGTTTTTGAATGCTTTCCAGCCACACTAAGCCAATGTTTACATTTCATCGCATGTTGCGTTTCTCCATAATTGCCTCCGCCTGCCTAAGCACTTTCAATTGTAGAAATTACATCATCTTCCCTGTGTTTTTTTCACGTGAAATTGACTTTCCTTACTTAGCCTTTTTTTAATTTAAATAGTTGTTCAATGTTGTCTACATATGTTCACTTTCAACTGTTGTCAAATATTCTGTGCATGTAAAAATGTGTTAATGTAACCCAGGTCGCCCCAGCCAAAGAGAAACTGTGCAATGCACATTGCTGGGTTTATTGTCTTGGTTCTTTCGGTAAAGTCACGTTAAAGGGAAACAATAAAATAATTATATATTTCATTATTTAATTGTTTCTCTATATATTATTATTTTATTGTTTCCCTTCAACGTGAATTTACCGAAAGAAACCAAGAATATGAATCACTGCAGTCACGAAAGCTTTAAATAAAAATTGCTGGGTTTGTTCATTAGGATGGTTAAACAAAGTATACTGGCGTCATGGATCATGTCAAATCTACAAAATACACAACCAACATATAAATACAAACCATTTGAAATGCCCTGCAATTAAGCAAAAGATGCTTACACATTTCCCTTGTCGCAAAATAAAATAAGACGTGAATCTATCATGAGCATTCCATGTCCAGCGACGTCTTACCTGCAGTTCACACCTGCCCAGCATGTCCAGGGCCACTAATCTGACTTGCTATTTATGTGCTCGGAATAGGAATATGCGCGAGGTTGAGGTGTGGCTTGTTCCTTCCCGCTGATGTAATATCTTGCAGCTTCACGGATAAATACCTGCCGTGCCCTGAAAGTGCCAATCCCCTTTACACAGCTGCCAGGGGGGAACGAATAATGGCCATTGTGCGACAATAATAGGCTTTAAACTTTAATTATACTGAAAGATGGCCACAGCCACCAACTATTTTCAATGCGTGTTGGTACAGGGAAAGCGCTATTATTGATGCAATGCTGAAAGATGGTATCTCCACGCAGTGTAGGTCATGGTGGCGATGCATTTATACCGCACAACACACTGGTTCGTGTTGATTATTGAAGATAGGAGCAGAGACACGGGAACATATACGTCCAGGAAATTGTGTGTTTCTGTTTACGTTTCTCCACTGCGGTATCCTGGTATGCATGTCTCAAACCCTGATCACGATGCAAGCTCTTACGATATTGGATGCAGCGTGGGTGCTTTGGTTCTCGTGACTGAAAATCACGGTTTGGTGAGTTTGTTCAGCACCTGCTTGCTGTGCTATTTTTAAATCACTTGTGTGAGTATTGAGATTTTACCTAAGAGATGACCTGCTGCAATGAGGCCGCATTGACATAAAAATGTGTCCTTCACCTCTGAAAGCTGAGCTGGCCAGAAATGCCAAAGATATCATGAGGCAAATCTGTGGTAATATGATCACAAAACGGCGCATGGGCGCATACGCTAATGCCATCACATTAACACGTAAAATCGACAAGTAAAACAAATCCAATTGGACCTGATTGTACCTGATATAATTACTGAGTTTTTGGTCATGCCTGTGAGAAACGAAATTGGTTGCATATGTTGACATTCGTGAGCTACTCCGCACAACAACTTAAACTTGTGCAGTGATTTTCTCAGGTACAATCGGTGATTTGTTTTTTTTTACTTTGCTGTCAGCGGTGTCATTGAAGTGAAATAGGGAGGAATTAATATCTTATTTTTGCTCTTCTTTGCTCTTAGACCTCAATGACACCACCGACAGCGTGGTGGAATTAAAGTGTGGGTATTCTCAGCTGCTGCGAGATACAGAACATCGTCAAGGGAGCATAAACCATCGCACAAACTCCGGTCATCCTCGCAGCGGCTTTCGGCGAGCCATCGAACAAAGACGGTCACTGCATTGCGAGCTTCAAAGATGCGCGCTTCTACGGCCGTCTGGAATGCTCCTTCTTTGATATTAGGAAGCCACTGGAGCTATGCACTTTTAAAACTACGTTGAAAACGAATTTATTGAGATGCGCTTTTTGATGTTTCATTTGTCGTCCTTAGCACGGTTGGCTACGTATGGTGCGAAAAAAAGTTCAAAATACGTACGACGTGTGGAAGTAATTGCCGGGCTGCACCTTAACCTTTCACCCTGACCACAAACAACTGATTCACACACGCACAGTTTCATGCAATGTGCCACGAGCCTAAGAATTGGCTCAGACTATCACCGATGAATCGTCGAACGTGCACCGGACCACGCATGGATAACCAGATGTGTGAAACACGCAGAGCGCGACGTTTCCTGTGGTGAATGTGCCATGGTAGGCGGTGGTAGCGTTATGACTCTCTCTCTCTCTCACCGCACCACGAACCGATTCGGTTCCTGGCCACCGCTAACCCCAACGCGGCTGAAAGCGTCACACCGCATACAACCCCACACTTCTTGAATAGTATCGGACGGAAGTCTCATGGCAAAAAGGGGAATGCGCTAAAAACAGTACCTTGCAGTACTCAACATCGATGCTTCCCACGACCCTTCGCTAACGCGCATTGATCGGTGTGGTGGTGAAGTTTGTTCAAACAAACTCCACGGCAGACACGACGTTCGAGGCTTTCTACCAACGGTGGATTTGGTTG